CGCATGTTAAAAAGCAAGTCCCAGCTACGAATAGTTTTAAAAGTTCAACACTATACCCACAGAACCATCACACCCGCCCTCCCTCTCCAAAAAAAATACCCTGCATTACCCTCCTGCCCGCAAATCAGTCCGTGCCCGCATTAGCGTCCCTAGTTCCATAAAATAAAAACACTTTGCTGATGTCCTGTTGAGTAAGCCAACATAACTGGCCAGGGCAGAAAGGGAGAGAGGACGAGTGGTTACACTGCATGCGTTAGTGAGCGACGCTAGTGAGTTTGTTACTTTGGCTTTTTCCCGTCGGGCGGTAGCCGATTTGTGGAGAGAGCAAGAGAGAGGGGGGGGGAGGGGTTGAAGAGGTAGTTGGGGTTATTTTTGGGTTTCGGTGATGAGATTCGGGAGATAGGACTGGAATGGGATGATGGGATGGGTGGAGGGGGTTCGGGTATGGGGTGCGAGTACGGGGACCGGAGGTTGCTTGTGTGTCGGATGAGAGGAGGGGAAAGAGTGGGGGGTCGGGTAACGGGTGGGTACGAGGGTTATGCGGGAGGTAAGTAGGTTTCAGGGTCTATTCTATCCTCTATAAAGTTCTCTATGAATCTTTTTGGGCACGGGTATTCTGTAAGCCCGATTCTCGTGTCGCTTTTATGGTCCGTCCCTTGCTTGCATTCCTTACTCGCACGTTGTTGGAGAGAAAGCTCTCTCTCTCTCTCTTTTCTCGTGGGCAATAGCTTCCTATGCAAATCTCAAGATCATCCTCCCATCTAGTTACTAAGCAACTACCCAATTTAGCCCCGGAGCACTGCAAGACTAGTTGTCACCCGCATGCAATGTTATGCTATTGCGACTTCCTGGTTCATCGGCACATGGCCGTTGATAAGCGACACCTATCAAACGAACCCCACCATGTGCTTCCCTCCACTAGTCTAGTAGCAGTAGTATAAAAAAAAGGGAAACCCACACCTCATGCACATCTTCCACAGAAACTGCAGTATCCCCCTTGTACCTCTTTCGGTAAAAGGTAAAGATTTTCTTTTGAAACACGCATCGTACCTTGGTCCCCACATACTATGCCGCTCGTGACGGCGGCGGCGGCGGTGTTCGCATCGCATCGCTAGCCACGTGCGAATCATCTATTGGGCGCAAAAAAAATAACACACAGTTTATCAACTTGGTGTCTTGACTTTCTCGGGTATCTGAGGCGGAAGTGGGGGTTCGTCGGTAAAAACCCTTGTGATTTCGTTCTGCGTAATCATGGTGGACATTAAACTTGCGGGTATGCTGTTGCGCAGCCAGTCTGGTTTCCTAAATACCTTTTTGCCTACGGGATTTGGGCAGGCGTTTTCTTCTGGCACGCCTTGGGCTGGAGAGCCTTGTTCTGCATCCCAGACGCCGACTCTGCCTCTCTCAGAGCCTCCGCTGGGATGGCGACCGCGGTTTGTCGCTAAGCTGCGGTGGTGCAGAGGGGAAAAGTGAGGGAATTTTCGCGCTATGAGGGCGCGGAGATCGGGGAGCGAGGCGGCGATTATGGCGAAGGAGATTTGGATGGAGATGAGAATGTTGACTGCGGAGCCAAAGTACTGCATGTTGCTTTCTCGGCGCTTGATGAAGGGGATCTGGAGGAGGGCGACTACGCATACGGTGAAGCCGAGGCCGAATATTATGACGAGACCGAGGCGCTGGCGGAGTCTCAGCTTGGAAAGCTGCCAGACATATACGATTGGGAGGGCGAATATCATGCTGTCAATGATGCTGTCGCCAATGGCCGCGGAATAGCTATATACGGCGGAACTGAAACATTGCGATCCGGTGAACTCGAGCCAGTCATTGGTCCACAGCTTGCCGATGTTTTCGCAGTATACTATGAGTACGGTAAGGACCTCGATAAAGAGCGCAAGGGCCATGGCAAGAAGAATGTAACAACATTTTCGGAGCGATGCCATTCCAGGTGGGAAGATGCGCAGATAGTATGCAAGGACTGAAAATCGAGTAAAAGTAACGGCGAAGAGGTAAGCGATACGTCTTTCGAAGATGTGCTTTTGGGTATTAGCGTGGTAATCTGAGATGTAGCATGGGTCCTACCTGGTAGTATGGTACTTCTGATGTTCGATCAGGGCTATCAAAACGATCAGCATGACTCGCCATGCCATTAGCTGGTGCAGACGGACCCTTTTCTATCATAGCCCCAGTTATCCTCTGCACTCATGCACGATATGACGGTGCGTGCAAAAGCAGCTCCCTGGCTCGTTGTTAGCAACGGCGATTTGTTGATGTGATTTGGGTTCTTTAGCACAACTCAAACATACCGTGCCCAGCAGTATCAAAATGTCATCTGCAGCAAGTTTTTTCTTGATAGCTAATCTTGAATAGACTCTGAGGACCACAGTGCTGATTGCTAGTACCATCAAAGGCACTTCGACAGCCAGCGCTGTTTTGAAGCCATTTGTTGCATCTCCAGCTTCCACACTGACAATTGGCTGTGTGATAGTTGGGCGAAATTCCATCCCTTCTAAAGCAATAGACATGTTGTAAATGTGTGGGGTATTGGAGTAGTAAAACAAATGTTAGATTAGTCGGCGGTGCCTAGTACTAGGCGCAGAGGAGAGGGGCGTCACATTGAGAGTAGGACTAATCTTGAAGAGAAAGAAGACACCTCGCCCAAACATGCTGATGCTGATGCTGATTATGATACTCTTCCAGTACTGCCAAGGCAGTGACTGCTTGTATCCGCTGACACGCCTTTGGCGGCTTACTGAGCGACGAGCGTAAGCCGCTCCACCAATAATAATTCACCGTCGTTCCTGCGCCAATACCAAGCATTGGCAAAAGTGCTGACATACTTCCTCGATCGTCTAATAAGGCGGGAACAATTCAATTGATATCATGAAGTATAGTCTGAGAATATGATGTATTTGCAACGGAACTGGAGGTCTTTTTTTTAATCTAGAGATGAAACCGGAATGTTGCATGTCCTGTGCTGACCTTGAAAATCACGCTGCGAAACCCTCAAATCGGACGTGGTTGTAGGATGCTTTAGCCTAAAAGATCCCTTCAACCTTGTCTGATTGGTCAAAATCGTATGCATTTCCGTACGATCTGTTCAAGTAATTCTTGAGCAATTGCTCGCTGGGAATGTATTGTGCAGCGATATTCAGACCTGTCTTCTCGGGCAAGAGTCGTTCAGCAAGCTCTTCAGCAAACTCGACTTGCATGGAGTTGCGGTACCATGGCGCAAAGTGAACTATAAATAGTGAGACTGGCAACATGTTGCATATAAGCAGGAAACTTACTCATAGCAAGCATCGCTCTAGGATCGGTAGTAAGATTGGGCTTTCCTCCGTGCCAGAGTCTCAGGTCACGTATGATGATGCTGCCTTTCTTCACGACTGGCTGCGAGGGTGGCCTAATCTCCCTACGAGCCTCGAGCAGGTGTTTCTTGATTCTTCCGCTAGCGCGGTCACCGTGTTCGCCTTCTTGGTCGGCAATAGTGGTGTTATTGTGCGTACCGAGCCAAATTTCAGTAGAACCATTCTCAGGAGTCATGGTGACCAAGGGAACGTTAATGACAAGAGCGAATGGGATCGAGGGATGGTCGAAATCCGCATCATTGTGAGTCGGCTGGGACGCAGGGGGGGATGTTTTGGTAGGGGGCAGAGCTGTATTGCCCGACATGAATTGCAGAGAAGGTCTGGGTCCGAGTTTGGTTGATGTCACCTGGGTGACAATTGGGTCTACGAGGTGACATGAGTGTTTGGTCTTGCAGCCACAAAGTTTAACGGGAGGAAATCTTACTGATGTAGATTTCGTTGCTGAACCACTCTTCCGTCATGGGCGGGTCCTGCTGGATATTGCCCTTGTTGTAATTAAAGGGGCTATCCTTCCGCGCTTGCAGCTCATATGCATCTTGGACCATTTTCTTGTTCAGACGGTCCAAGACGGCATGATCGACCATGTCCTCTACGACGACAAGGCCGTCACGTGCAAGAGCTCGAATTGCGATTTCGAGATTGCGTTGGCCGAGTGCACCATTCTTGATCTCGGATGCCGAGGGGACGACGGAGATGGGAGTCGAAGAAAGAGTTGGGGCCATGGTTAAAGATGAAGGACTGCAACTCGATGGCTTGTACAAATGTATGCATGGCCAGTATCAATGGCAAGTTGCGAATTTATATAGACTCGAACTAATTCGGAATACCGTCGTGATGCTCGTGGGATGGCGGAATACACGTAATGGGACTAGGTGGGCGCTAGTCTAGTTGTAGCACAGCAACCGGTTTTGTGGATACCAAGTGCGGGGTGCGTCCAGCTCGAGTGTCGGAAGAGCAAGACTGGGGCAGCAGACAACGGACGCGTTCCCGACAGTTGAGGGTGCAGTTTAGAGCAGAGGACTCGATCAGGTAGAGGATCCGGTGTGCTGTCGACTTCTCACAGACAGGTGCGGCGCCATGGCAGTTTCGGCGGGAGAGGACCATGGCCACTGACGGCATTGGCTGCATTTGCTCTGCCCTGCCTTGCCCTGCTCTGGTCTCTGCAAGCCAAACGCGCTGTCACGGGCTGCCAGGATAGCCGGATCCATAGCCACGGCTAGTCAGGGGACAGACGGGCTGAGGCCCAGGCTGTTTGTGCAAAAGCGGGAAAAGCGCAGTGGATGATCGACTTCGTACTGCGGACCGAGGTAGCGTGGGCTGCGTTTGCCAGACTCCCGTCGCATGGCCTGGTGCTGATAGTGCAACGAGGATGCGTATTACATACATACAGCAAGCCTTGCGCTCTGGACGCGGCGTCTTACGGTGCTTACGTCGGGCGCTTTGGTGTTTCCTGGCGTCTCAAACAGGGACGACAGAGGTTGCGCACATGTTGGGGGCGCAGACAGGAGCATTGTTGTCGCACAGCATGGTGTTGGTTGGGCAGGCAAGTGGCGCGATGGCAGGACAGGCAAGGATCGATGAGGCCAGGGCCACCTCATCTCGTCTCCGCATTTGTTCCAAACGCAGCGCCAAATAGCTGCCATCGCGCCCTCGCAACTCCACACGCTTAGATACGGCCGTGGCCCACAGCGCATTCAACGCGTGCTTCTTTTTTTTCCTCGCACACACACAAACACACACAATTGCACCCCGATCCGATACTTCTGCCTATTGTTGTCCTTGTTAGCTCAGCACGCATCTGGCCCCTCCCCATTGGCTATTGCGGCGCCCAGCACCACCACCTCAGGCATCACACATCCATCCTGACAATCATATCACACGCCCACACTGGCCCACCTACCAGATCCAACACAACCCCAGGCCATTGGTGTTCGATAGTCTCCGCATCGCATAGCAATCGCACCACTTCACCCATCCCACGGCGCACCACAAACACCACGCGACCCGGACGAGTAACGTCATCGACGCCGCCATGCCGTCACAGCGTCGCATGAGGCTGTCTGTCATCCTCATCATCGTCACAATCACAGTGCTCTTCTACATGTCAAGAGGAGCCCGCCAGACAACATCGTCCGACTTCTTCACAAAGACGCAGCAGGCGCTGCAGGAGAAGGAGTATGCAGAAGCCGTCAAACAGCGCGATGCAGAGAGTGTTGGCTCGCGCCTCAAGGCTGCCGAGGACCAGGCCAAGAAGCATGCCGATGACAAGTACGCCAAAGTGAAAGCCGGCGTCGAAGGCCCAGACAAGAAGGGTGTAGCAGGCCGCGTCAAGATGGATGGCGACAGAGTACCGGGCGTTGCTCAACAAGGCGGCAGGCCTCGCGATCAGGCTGCCATGATGGAGCATGAGACCCCCGAGGACCATGAAGTCGAGATGGAGCTCAATGCGATCCTGAAAAAGAGTCCGAGTATGTTTAGGATATGTCAACTCTTGTGCGCAGTTACTAACCTCTTCTAGTGATCATCTTTTCAAAGTCTTACTGTCCCCACTCGAAGAAGGCAAAGCACATTCTGCTTGAGAAATACAACATTGTTCCTAAGCCCTATGTTGTCGAGCTGGACCTCAACCCCATGGGCGAGAAACTACAAGCCTTCCTACACAAATCCACTGGCCGCAGAACTGTTCCCAACGTACTGCTCATGGGCAAGAGTATTGGAGGCGGCGACGAAATGCAGGAGCTTGACGAGACTGATGCTCTTGTAACAAAGGTCCGGGAGATGGGCGGCAGCCGTATCACCGAGGTCGAGCATCGTGGCGCCCGTCCACAGGCAAAGCGCCAACGGAGGGCAGCGTAAACCCTACTGTGCTTGCTTTGTAGTCTATTTTGTCATGTATCTATCAACCGTATGTTTTGGTGGCTTCTTCCAGCGTCAGAGCGCTGCATGATGAACATCAGGGTGGACGTGGAATGGTTTGTATACCCCTATGCATCTCGATTGGCGCAATACCTATGGACCCACTTGTGGTCCGTCTGGTGTGATGGATATACCCTCTATAGTTTCATTTGATGTTGTGTTCCTTTACTTTTCTCCGTTTTCACCTGGCTCCGAATGCTGCTCTCACTTACCTCAGTGATTGCCTAACTGAGAGTCACTCAGCTTTAAGGAAAGCACACTCCCACCTTCCCCCCACCTTTCCTTGCCCAACTCCGAAGTAGCGATACCTAGGATGATGTCTTGCCCTCACATCTTGACCACCAACTGCTTGACCACTTCGCGTTAACACTCAGTTTTCGATCGGGCACTTGCCGTAGCAGCTCACTGACAACCCACGGAGCACTTCACCAACATGTGTCTCTACTGGAAGAAGATGCATACGTGCGGCCACCCTTCAGATCGTCCTTATATCGAGATGTGCCGTCCAGGACTCCTCTCCAACAACGTCTGTCTTGACATCAAGGAAGATGAGCACTATCGTCCGTCGCACTTCCCATGCTACTTCTGCATCAAAGCCGAAGCACGTGCCGAAATCGAGGCTCAAGTCCGTTCTGATCAAGAAGCCATCGCCAAGGCCCGCCAGGCTCGCGAGAATGCGGTCAAGGAGAAGGTAGCTGCCGAAATGAAGGCAAAAGAGGAGCGTGTTCGACGCGAGGCTCGCGAGAAGGCGGCTAGAGAACGAGAGGCAGAGCAGCGAGCGAAGCAGGAAAAAGAGGAAGACGAAATCAGGGCTAAGAAAGAGGGTGGCCCGTGGATTGAGACTTCGGGAGGCAAAAAGTTCAAAGCCAAAAAGAATGCTGGCAGTAGTGGTACCACGGGCAGTCCTACGAGACTCTTGAATTCCTTGTCAGTCGCAAAGATGGCCACTGGGCCCAAGAACACAATGGAAAATAAAACTGGCAACGGCGACGGTGCGGAGACGATGGCTTCCAAGACAAGCGGTGTTGACATGGGCAGTAGGGCGGGGGTTTGGGGCCCTAAGAAGATCTTGACGAGACAGGAAAACGATGCCAGCACCGGCTCCGGGGCGAAGGAGTGAGGCGCTTCATCAAGATGCAAAAGCCGCGCTTTGGAAAAACCAACCCAAGTCGATTGGAAGCTCTTCTCCAAGCACGCTCTGAGGTAGTGGACGAGTTAGATCATGGTGTCGGTGGCCTGCTGGTGTCTGGGTTGAGAACACATGGTTCATGGAGGAAAGCAGCTGGGCATGAACATGCTGTATGTATTTGCATATGGGAAATCGATGCTAGTCACCCGAAAACTTGGTCCACGATCGAGTCACGTGGGTTGTAATACACACAGCACGATGGCTGAGATGGCGAGATGACAGCTGTGACAGGGGAGCAGGGCTAAAAGACAGGCTCTCGAATCGTGACGTGCAACCCGGCGGATGGTGCGGAAGAGGGCGACATGATAGGCAAAGACGATTGGCGACTAGGACTAAAGGCAAACGGCTGCAAACCACTGCAAACCATGGCACCGGCCTGCGCCGGCTGCAACACGTCGAGAATGTCATGATATCAGATGCCAAGGCACGCAGATATTACTGAGGCCCAATTTAAGCCCAGCTGCCGTTTACAGACATGTGTATTTGCAGGGGCGCTGGATAATACGTAGGAGGCAGTAGGGGAAAAGGTGCGCAGACCGGTTCGAGGCTCGATGCCGTGTTCTGGTTGCTGGGTGACCGGGGGGCGGAGCGTCTATGCGGTACACGAAGGTCCAAGTATACCTACAACACACTGGAGAGTGCATATCCTCAAACAACGCGCCCACTTTTTGACACGACAGCAACGATTACGGGAACTCGTATCTACGCAAAAGAGGACTAGCAGCCGGTGCCCAAGAATTCGCGCAAGCGCATACACTTACCGCAGGCCGTGTTGCGACTCTGGGCGGCAGTAGCCTCCCCAACCTCCCCAGTACCAGCCACCGACCCGCAGGCTCCCCAACCTCACGCATATTCCAAGTGTACCTTTTTCTTTGCCGCGTCCTGCTTCCTTCTCCTGCACAATTACATACTCCCTACCACTGCACTTTGGCTCTGTTCAAAGATTTTGCTACCTTTCTTTTTGTTTCTTTTTTCGCAAGAGACAGGCCATCCACTCGTGCAGGAAGCCAGTCATCGTACGCACACCTAGTCGTCCGGGTCTGGACAGCACGCTAGCCAACAGGCCGACCCCGCAGCTACCCACGCATTCACCGCCCCGAGAGCCCACGGCGAGTATAGTATCGCGCCGCAGCACCAGCAGCAGCGTGTCGCTCTTCTTCTTCTTTCTGCAGACGCATCTCCTCCAATTCCATCCAATCGCCGCCTCTTTTGCCGGCCGTTTGGTACAGTCGATCGCTACCATGCACCTCTTCACGATGCCTTCCGCCATGCTTGGCCTGGCTGCATTCGCATATCTGCCAGCCGCCCTCGCAAAGCCTTATCCCCCGCTCCACTTTCAAGACTTGGAAAACTACCACAACTCGTCGCAATCTGTGGAAAAACGAGCCTGTGACGGAGTCCCCTGCGGTTACGACGGCTGGCTATGCTGCCCTTCAGGCTCGACTTGCTACACCGATGCGCAGAACCAGGCGCAATGCGGCGGCGCTGGCAACGCCAACCCACAGGCAACAGGAGGCGTCTGGGAGTACCGCACCACCACTTATGTCGAGACGGTCGGACTCCTCACAAAGACTCAAGTCTTTAGCACTTACGTCCCTGCAACTGCCACACAGACTTGCAGCGACTCGCAAAATCCATGCGGCTCCACCTGCTGCGACTCGGGATTCTACTGCCTCACTGCCGGCCAATGCGCTCTGATTGCTGGCGGAAGTACTGGAGGTATTTCACCCTCTGCTCCTCTACGACCCACTGGCTCAGGCGTTGTTATAGTCACCTACACTGGCACCCCAACTGCGACAGTTCCCTTCCAGACTCCAATTCCCACTGGCGCAGCCGGTAACGACCTCGTTCCCACTGAGGGTCAGGACAAGGGTCTCAGCGGTGGTGCCATTGCCGGTATCGTCATTGGTGTCATCCTGGGCGTTTTGCTGCTGCTTCTGTTGTGCCTTTTCTGTTGCGCCCGCGCCCTCTTCGACACTCTTCTCGCCATCTTTGGCTTCGGCAAGAAGCGCAAGCACAGCCACGAGGAAACTTACATCGAAGAGCACCACCACAGCGGAGGTGCAGCTGGCGGACGCTGGTACGGCGCAGGACGTCCTGCTCGTCCCTCGCGCGCTGGCTCGGAGAAGCACAGCGGCGCAAAGAAGGGTCTCGGCATTGCCGCTGGTCTTGGTGGCCTGGCGCTTGCACTGGGTCTGAAGAGACACCAGGATCACAAGGCTGACGACAAGAGCACGACTATCAGCGGAACATCATACATGTACAGCGACTACACGAGTACCAGTAAGTAACCAATTATGTCCCTAAATTAATCGTAGAGCAACATGCTAACAACCACCCAGGCAGCGCAAGCTCATCAGACCGACACACTCGCCGAACACGACACTCGTCAAGGCGGTAATCTCGTCGTCTTCTTCAAGTTTCCCACAGGAATACTTGAACTGTACAAAGTCACATGTTTTTTTTTCTTTCGAGTCGTCTAGTTCGCTACTAGACGCAATGTTTTATGAGCATGTTATCGGTTTATCTTTTGATAAGAAAAGGAGGGTTATCAGGCTCGCCTGCGTAGAGCCTTACCGACTGGCGTTTATCTTGGGAGTAAGGGCGTTTTTAGCGAGCCAGCTTTTACTACGCTGCAATAGCGATGAGTCATGTTTTTTATTCCGTTTTTCTTTTTCAGTTACACGATGATGGAGGAGATGGGCGTTGAACCGCTTAATGAAGTATGCGTATGCATGAGACGCAAGGAATATGAGATTATGGATACGGAAGATATGTATATCGATTGAACGAAAACATGAGCCCTCAATTAGGGGGTGTAACTATGAAAAACAATTCCTTCACAAAGCTGATTTTGATGACGTGATCATAACCTTGGTCAATGTTGGAGCATGTTCTAGCTGTATGACTCTACTGATTTGAAAGAAACAGTACAGTGGCGGAAAAAGCTAATTGCAAATGGCGCGATTGCGAGAGTAAGTAAGCTGGAATTGCGAACCGGGCTGATTGATCATTGCATGTGCCAAGACCAAAGTGGGATGGCGCTAATGTGGAGCTCTTGCACCCTCGATGTGACAAGTACTCACGTAATAACTACTGCAGCCTGCTGCTTCTCCAGCAGATCCCTTTCCTCCTGTTTACACCATTCTACTCAGTAACAAAACAAACCAGTTGATCTAGTTTGTCTGCGTCCCATAACCAAAAACACCACATAGCTTGCTACCCCGCGATAGTCAAGGCGCCTGCGATTGCCACACCTGACAGCTGCTAAGCTTCTCAACAGTCGGCAAACTGGGGAAGAGGCAACAGAACGACGAGGACGCTCGTCCCAGCAAGAAAGAAAAGGCTATGACAGTAAGCTTTCCTACTTCCTCGAACCAGAACACCCCGCGTGTCTACCGTCGACGGCTTCGTCACTTCGAAACACGCTTGATCGAAAGCTAACAACGAGCAGGAAAAGATGCAAGTCGACAGTCCCGCTACTGCCGTCGAGCAGCTCAAGGAAGCCTCTGGAAACAATGGCGACATCGACGAGTCGCTATACAGCAGACAGCTGTACGTGCTGGGCCACGAGGCCATGAAGCGCATGGGCTCGTCCAATGTCCTTGTCGCTGGTCTGCGAGGCCTTGGTGTAGAGATTGCGAAGAACGTTGCTCTTGCCGGAGTCAAATCGCTGACGCTTTACGACCCCAAACCTGCCGCTCTTGCCGATCTATCGTCACAGTTCTTCCTTACGCCCGACGACGTAGGAAAGCCGCGCGCCTCCGTCACCGTGCCCCGCGTTTCGGAACTAAACCCATACACACCCGTCCAGGAGTTCAGCGGGAAGGATCTGACATCAGATCTGTCGCAGTTGAAGCAGTTCCAGGTTGTAGTGCTTACCGACACCCCGCTAGACGACCAGATCAAGATCGCCGACTACTGCCATAACAATGGCATCTACATTGTTATCACGGATACGTTTGGTCTGTTCGGTACCATCTTCACCGATTTTGGAAAGAACTTTACTGTCGGCGACCCCACTGGCGAGAACGTGACCAATGGCATCATTGCTGGCATTGACGAGGAGGGCATTGTATCAGCATTGGATGAGACAAGACACGGTCTTGAAGATGGCGACTGGGTCACCTTCTCCGAAGTTGAAGGAATGGAGGCTCTGAACGGCTGCGCGCCTCGCAAGATTGAGGTCAAGGGACCTTATACCTTTTCAATTGGCGACGTGTCAGGCCTAGGAGAGTACAAGAGGGGAGGCCAGTTTATCCAGGTCAAGATGCCCAAGATTCTCAATTTTGAGCCGTTCAGCAAGCAGCTCAAGAAGCCCGAGCTCCTCATTTCCGACTTTGCAAAGTTCGACCGACCGCAACAACTGCACGTGGGCATTCAAGCCCTCCACAAGTTTGCAAAACTTCACAAAGGCGAGTTCCCGCGCCCTCACCACGAGGCTGATGCGACGGAGCTATTCAAGATTGCACAGGAGATTGCAGACGAAGGTGAAGAGAAGGTCGAGCTGGACGAGAAGCTCATCAAGGAACTCAGTTACCAAGCTCGTGGCGACCTCAGCCCTGTAGCTGCCTTCTTTGGTGGTATGGCCGCCCAGGAAGTATTGAAGTCTGTGTCTGGAAAGTTCCACCCCATTGTGCAGTTCCTCTACTTCGATTCGCTGGAGTCACTCCCTACCTCCACAACCCGTTCGGAGGAGCAGTGCGCTCCGATTGGTTCGCGATATGATGGTCAGATTGCGGTACTGGGTCAAGAATACCAGAAAAAGCTCAGCAATGTCAAGCAGTTCCTGGTCGGTGCAGGCGCCATTGGTTGTGAAATGCTCAAGAACTGGGCTATGATGGGCCTGGCTACTGGTCCTGAGGGCAAGATTACCGTAACCGACAATGACCAGATCGAAAAGAGCAACCTGAACCGCCAGTTCTTGTTCCGACCTGCCGACGTTGGCAAGCTGAAGAGCGATGCTGCTGCAAAGGCAGTACAGGTCATGAACCCAGATCTCAAGGGAAAGATTGTCACTCTGCAAGACAAGGTCGGCCCCGAAACCGAGCACATCTTCAACGAGGATTTCTGGAATTCGCTAGACGGCGTGACGAACGCACTCGACAACGTGGAAGCGCGCACATATGTCGACCGACGATGCGTCTTCTTCCGTAAGCCTCTGCTCGACAGCGGCACTCTTGGTACCAAGGGCAACACACAGGTTGTTCTGCCATTCATCACCGAGTCCTACTCTTCATCACAGGACCCACCAGAGAAGTCATTCCCCATGTGCACATTGCGAAGTTTCCCTAACCGAATCGAGCATACGATTGCATGGGCGCGAGAGTCGTTCGATTCGCTGTTTGTGAAAGGTCCCGAAATTGTCAACTTGTACTTGACACAGCCCGACTATCTTGGTGCTTCACTGAAGCAATCTGGAAACGAAAAGCAGACCCTGGAGACTCTCCGGGATTTCTTGGTGACTGAGAAGCCGCTGACCTTTGATGACTGCATCATCTGGGCGCGCCACCAGTTCGAGAAGAACTACAACCATGCGATCGCGCAGTTGCTTTACAACTTCCCTAAGGACTCCAAGACTGGGTCTGGCCAGCCATTCTGGTCAGGCCCAAAGCGTGCGCCCGATCCAACCAAGTTCGACCCCTCAAACCCCACCCACTTCACCTACGTTGAAGCCGCCGCCACCCTGCACGCCTTCAATTATGGCATCAAGCCAAATGCATCTCGAGAGCACTATGTGGAGGTACTCAACGATATGATCGTTCCCGACTTCCAGCCCGACCCTACTGTGAAGATCCAGGCAGATGAGAAGGAGCCGGATCCAAATGCTAACCAGGCTGGTGGCGACGACAACGACGTTCTCAACAAGATCATCAGCCAGCTTCCGGACCCGAAATCTTTGGCTGGATTCAGGCTTGAACCTGTTGAGTTTGAGAAGGATGATGACACCAACCATCACATCGACTTCATCACTGCTGCCAGCAATTTGCGTGCAGAGAACTACAAGATTGAGCAGGCCGACCGCCACAAGACCAAGTTCATTGCTGGCAAGATTATTCCTGCTATTGCCACGACCACAGCACTTGTGACTGGCCTTGTCAACCTTGAGCTTTACAAGATCATTGATGGAAAGAAGGACATTGAGCAGTACAAGAACGGCTTCATCAACTTGGCGCTGCCCTTTTTTGGCTTCAGTGAGCCAATAGCAAGCCCCAAGGGAACATACCAAGGACATGACGGTGAAGTGACGATTGACAAGCTGTGGGACCGCTTTGAGGTGGAGGACATCACGCTCAAGGAGTTTGTTGACCACTTTGAGAAGAAGGGCTTGTCAATTCAAATGATCAGTTCAGGCGTCAGCTTGCTGTATGCGTCGTTCTACCCTCCTTCGAAGCTCAAGGATCGGATGCCTCTGAAGTAAGTTGCTTGTATCTCTCTTTTGGATATTAAATGCTAATGATGTGAATAGAATGAGCAAGCTGGTGGAGCACGTCAGCAAGAAGCCGATCCCTGATCATCAGAAGAACGTCATCTTTGAGATAACAGCCGAGGACCAGAAGGAGGAAGACGTAGAAATACCATATGTGATGGTCAAACTCCAGTAGGGGTGGATTCGTGATGAGAAGGACTTTGGACTTGTTCGAAAGGCTGGATTCAGACGATGACAAGAGGAATTAGATGTGCATAGTTAGCATGAATAGATGCTATACTGTACTGCGGTCTTTGTCTGTTTTCTAATGCGGTTACGGAAAGCGTGATTAACATGGACATGGTTTGTTAGTTACGGCGTTGCAGTCATTGGTGCCGAAAGTCGGAAGAGGGTGGGGCAAGAATGCCAAGACTAGCAGCTAGCAGCGGCGACGCGGAGGTTGATTATCAAGCGTGTCGAGGATGTTTGTCGAGCACGCAACAATGTAGACATTACCTGCACACAAGCCTTACAACTACAATGGCGCCGTCACTGGAAGAGCCTGTGCAAGTAGACTTTGAAGCGCCTCTCAAAGCAGCGCCGCAACTGGTTGCGCCTGAGCCGGGTAGGTTTGCCCCGCCACCGCAGGCGACGCAGAAGAGCACACGACTAACACATGGCTCACAGAACATTGTCCTGGACCAGAATCTGCCACAGCTGGTAAAGCGGACTCGTGCGCAGGATGCCCCAATCAAGCAATATGCGCCTCGGCGCCCAAAGGCCCTGACCCGGACATTCCCCTCATCACAGCACGACTTGGCTCTGTCAAACACAAGATCCTGGTACTCTCTGGCAAAGGCGGAGTAGGAAAATCGACCTTTAGCACCATGCTCTCCCACGGCTTCGCCTCGAACCCTCAATCCACAGTCGGCCTCATGGACACGGATATCTGCGGCCCCAGCATACCCAAGATGATGGGGGTAGAAGAAGAAACAATACACGTCAGTGGCGAAGGGTGGGAGCCCGTCTGGGTCAGCGAAAACCTGGGCGTCATGAGCGTCCAGTTTATGCTGCCGAATCGCGACGACGCAGTCATCTGGCGGGGCGCAAAGAAGAATGGACTGATTAAAAAGTTTCTGATGGATGTTACGTGGGGGGAGCTGGATTTCCTCATTGTTGATACGCCGCCGGGCACGTCTGACGAGCATCTGTCTGTGAATTCGTTCCTCAAGGCCTCGGGCGTGGATGGTGCGGTTCTCGTGTCTACGCCGCAAGAAGTCGCGCTGCTGGATGTACGCAAGGAAATTGATTTTTGCCGAAAGGCGGGGATACGCGTGCTGGGTATTGTGGAGAATATGAGTGGATTTGTGTGTCCTGGGTGTAAGCATGAAAGTCAGATTTTCAGGGCGAGTACGGGGGGTGCGGAGAGGTTGGCCAAGGACGAGGGGATTCCGTATTTGGGTGCGGTGCCCCTGGATCCGAGGATTGGCATGGCGTGTGATTTTGGAGAGAGCTTTTTGACGGCGTACCCAGACAGTCCGGCGTGCAAGGCTATTCAGGAGGTGGTGAGACGGGTGGGGGAGGAGATGGGGTTGAGGAGGGAGGAGGTTTTGCCTGTGGAGGAGGAGGAGGCGTGAGGATATTCAGATATGATGGACATATAGGAAACATGTTTGATCAAGCAGATAGATGATGGCTTGGATGTGTCGATCCGGGCCCAGCAGCAGTTGAACGATACAATGGCATCCGTGTGTGGCTGACGAAACAGTTCACGCAAGCATGGATGATCACTATTTCACCCAAACACAAGCGTGTATACCGACTTGAACATGTAGAACAGGAAACATGACATGGGTCGTGTGGTACGAACATTCTCCCTGCAGGAGGGTGGCTGACAGGAGATTACAAGTGGATCTGCAGCCACAGACACAGCCACTCAAGGTGCGTCATTGGGATGGCGCTATGCATGGGGGGGGGGAAGCATTGTTTCTGTGAAGGTGGTGGCTAGTCGTAGCGTGCACCCGCGAAGCTTGCTTTGCGCCCGGGTCATGAGCTCATCGATGTCACCCTGCCGCGAACTACCAGAACTGCGCGCCTCCCCGATGTCCTGCAGCGAGTGAGGAGTTGCAGGACAAGGGTATCGCCTCCCGGACCAGTTACGGCATATCCTGACCCTTTTTTTAACAAGTCCCTGAACACATCTCTCATAGACTTGTGTAGGTGGTAGCGTATATCTTGAAAAGGGAAGACCCACTGAAGCACGCGCGCGATCCACCGCGGGCTGCGGGCACCACCCTTATTCACCTTGTTGTGGCTGCGACTCGAACCAGGAACTTTCCCTCCCCCCCGGCTAGCGGCAGTGCATTATCCCTGAACCCGTCGTTCCTGCTTGTGGCCCAGCAATCACTGGCACAAACACAACTTTCAGGTCTTTCGAGTTCCTCGAGGCTTGCATACATTTTTGGGCCTCCCTCCTCCCAGCCTCTTTCCTCCTTCCCTTGCTCGTTCGACATACGCGTGTTTAAAAACCCTCCACGCCATACATACTTGACTTTGTTTGTTTACTAAGTATTGTTTTGCTAAGACGAGGTCCCTCTCCCCTCTCCCACCCCCCCGAACTCAATTGGACTCTTGTTCTTTGCGCAAGGCATTCCGTGATATTTCACCCCTTTGTGTCGCGCGCGCGCATTCGCACATCTGTACCAGAGCTTTGTGGCTTACGAGAGTCTCTCAGCCCCATCGCAATTGTGAGTTTGGCGCCTTTTGCTGAATTGAAGCCCCCCCCCTCCCCCCCGCTCTCCTTGCTGACTGAAGCCTGCAAGTGTAACGTCATAATCTTTTTTCCCGACGCGCCCGGGCGTGAGCATCTGTCTCGCTTTGTTATATTATACGACTACGACTACGACTACTACGAGCCCTTGATCGCGAACCGGATTGTACCATGGCGACCGAATACGAGCAACCTGTTTTCACAGCATCCGCCGACGTCCAACCGCATACCGATTCCAGTGGCGTTCAAGGCATTGGCCAAGGTCCTCAAGTTGTCAGCACCTCGGGTTCGCTGGATGTTGTGCTCGGGCCGCTGCTGAACTATAGGCGCACCAGCAATCAGCAGGTGGGACAGCCCATATGGCACGGCAGTGTGCTGGTTGTGACGAAGCCGGGGCAGCAGGATGCAAACGGAGTACACCCGAGCCCACAGCTGACGCTGTCGCCAGCCGGTGCTGTAGACAGGTCGCTTGGCGATGTGAGGTTCAGCGTTGCGGAGAGGGTCTTTCACGGCCAGAAGCTGTATGAAGACTCCAAAAAGGCGTTTTGGCGCTTTCTCATCGACGCGCCCATGCAGCCGTTCGAATCGAGGTGGAACTACGACATCCAGAGTCTCAAGTATGTCGATGGCAAGAAGGAGGAGAAGCCGACGAGATTTGTGATTCCCTCCATTTCTCAGTCCATGCGCATCATGTTCCACTCTTGCAATGGCTTTAGTGTTGGAACAGACTTGGATGTTTGGCAGGGACCTGTGCTTTGGAATGATGTCCTCCGCATGCACGACCAGCGACCTTTCCACGTCATGATTGGTGGTGGTGACCAGATCTACAACGATGGAGTGCGAGTAGATGGTCCACTTAAGCCCTGGACCGACATCTCAAACCCCCACAAGCGACGCGAGTTTCCCTTTGACAGGCAGATGCGTGACGAATGCGACGAGTACTACTACAACAACTATGTCCGGTGGTATGGCACGGCCCCCTTTTCCACCGCCAACAGTCAGATTCCTCAAGTTAACATCTGGGATGACCACGACATTATTGATGGATTTGGTTCCTACACCGATCACTTCATGAACTGCTCTGTTTTCCGCGGTATCGGAGGAGTGGCTCACAAGTACTATCTTTTGTTCCAGCATCATCTTGCTCCCCCACCGAGTACCTATACCACGGATGCTCCCCAGACGACGGCCGTACATGCTCAAGGAGAGAAGACTACGCCTGTAGATCATGCCCAGGTCCAGGATACGTTTGTAATGACCAACGATGAAGGCGATCCATCGTACATTATTGGTTCCAAGCCTGGCCCGTATGTCGAGGAACGGAGCCGCAATATTTACTGCCAGTTAGGTGCACGAATTGCTTTTGCTGGTATTGATGCCCGAACAGAGCGCACAAGACACCAGGTTAACTACCCGGAGACGTACAAGCTCTTGTTTGATCGTTTAGATGCAGAGTTTACTGCTAACCCAGAGCTCAAACACATGATCTTGCTACTCGGTGTTCCTATCGCGTATCCTCGTTTGATCTGGCTTGAGAACATTCTGCAGTCGCCTCTGATTGCGCCCATCAAGTTTTTGAACAAGCGCTTTGGCTTTGCTGGTGGCTTCTTTAACCAATTTGACGGCAAGGTCGATTTGCTTGACGATCTCGACGACCACTACACAGCCCGCCAGCACAAGGAGGAGCGCAGGCAGCTCATGCACAAGTTGCAAGCCTTTTCCCAGAAGTTCTCTGCCCGAGTCACTATTCTTGGAGGAGACGTCCATCTCGGAGCCATTGGCCGCTTCTACTCCAACGCCAAACAAGGACTCCGTGCCGAAGAGGACTGGCGCTATATGCCCAACATCATCAGTTCGGCCATCACCAACAAGCCCCCACCGCAAGCCGTAGCCAACCTCCTCGCCAAACGCAACAAGATCCACCACCTCGACAAGGAAACCGACGAGACGCTCCTCGAAATCTTCGACCGCGACCCAGCCCTCCCAGACGGCGTCGTCGCAAACGGCACAAACGGAACCACCGACTCCAATGGCACCCCCAAACCCGAATCCAAAACCTCCGACTCAAACCACGCTACCATGCCCTCGCGCAACTACGCCATCATCTGCGAATCCAGCATCCCCCCCGCCGCAACCTTGACCGCACCAGGCCCCCAACCCGGCGCCACACCCTCGGTCCACACAAACGGCGACGCAAAATCCACCATGAGCGAAGCTCCCGGCGCAAAAGATAACATGCGCCAACCCTTCCATCTCGGCGAGCATGGCGCAGGCACCCAGCACCCGGCCGCCAACGGCATCCAGCCCTCGGGCCTGTGCGGACCGTACGGTCTCGATGTCACGCTTCGAGTGGAGATTAGTAATAAGGATAGGGAGGGAAGGACGGATGGGTATGGGTTTACGATTCCAGGGCTTGTTGTGAGTGAGGCTATGAAGGCCAAGGGGAGACATTGGTAAGGAAAAAAGTTTATACATATGTATATGCGTGTATGAGAGAAGGAAGGGTGGTGGTGTGTAAAGTGATACTTAATTTTTTGGGGGGGAGAATTTTATTGGTCCGGCTTGACGTTGGATAGTTACATACCCTTGGAACTAAGTGCGTTTTCTGTCTTTTTTTTCATGTTATGGTAATTTGACATGTTTGGGGTTTTTTTTTGTGAACACAGTGTTTGAGGCAATGGAACAAGTTGATGCGGATGGTTGGTGAGTGAGTGTGTTTTATTACTAAGTTCATGTTTAACATCTTGACACTTTCAAAGCCGTTATATATTCTAAGTTGAAAATTCATAATTTCATCTCTTTTTTTGTTTTTTTTTTGCTCGCTACAGAGCAAAAAAGAAAATGTCATCGTACGCATACATATGTATATTTACATGGGTTATTTGTCTGATTTGAAAGCTTTTTTCTTTTGTTTTAAAAAAAAAACAAAGATGAGGATCCCCAGCTTGATTTGAAGAGAAAGACAGGAGGGGATATAAAGGTTTATGTGGACAGACCAAGTTGTCTCCAAAGTTCCAAAAAAGGAGAAAGAAGAAAGAAGAAAGAGATATGCACGATATAAAACACCCCAACCCCCCCCAAAAAACACCCCACAGCTCCAACCCAAGAGAAAAAAAAACATAACAGAAAAAAGAAAAAAGATGGAACAAGAAAAAGATGCAAAACGGCTTACCACGAAAACGAATGCCTCAAACCCACCTCTTCCCTTCCCCCACCCTTCCTCAACGCCGCAAAAAGCGCAAGCAACTGTGCCGCCTCCATAGCACCAGCCTCCTGCCAAAAAGTCGAGGACGCGGTCTGCTGCATGGCGAGCTCATAGCACGTCTCGAGCAAGGCATTAGTCTGCTCAGGGGCATCCCTGATCCTAACCTTCATGGCAATGGCCATTGCGAGAAAGACATGAAACCTGGCCATAGCCATGGTAACGGAGAGGTCTATAGCGGACGAAGGCGTCGGATTTGGATAGACGGCCTCGCAGAAGCGGGCGAAGAGGAGGGGAGAAAGCGAGTAGGGCTTGTAGTCTAGCGACTCGAGGTGGCGGATGAATTCGTTGGTGAGGGTTTCGGCCTCGAAGCGCGAGGGCAGCGGGGTGGTGGCGAGGGCGCGGCTGCGGTCCGTGAAGCTGGAGCGCGACGAGGATGGGCCGGGGCTTTCGGCGCTGCGGGCGGCGAAGATGCCCTGGCGGGGGAGGCGGGGGGCCGGGGCGAGGGGGAGGAGGTCGTCGTCGATTTCAGGGATGGGAGACATGGTTTGGTCGGTGCTGCCGGCGGAGAGGGACGAGGCGGATGTTTTGCGCGAGTGGGCGGGGCGGGATAGGGGAGCGTTGGTGGGTGGTGGGTGCAGTTGGGAAGGGGGTAGGTGGGGGTGTGCCATGAATTCCCACGAGGGGGCTATGTGCATTTCTCCCGAGGGTAGGGGTGAGGTTGTTGATGGGCGCTGGCCAGAGTATGAGGATGGGGTGGTGTAGTTGGAGAGGCTGCTGGCCGAGGGTGGTGGTGGCGGCCCTGAAGGCATGGAGTCGGGAGACGAGGCACGCGTGGTACCTAACCATAATGAAGGTACTGGTGAAGACGGCGAGGAGAGGTTGGGGAAAGGCTCACATTCGTCTATGGCGATTGAGGGCATGCTGCCGCTGCGCGCGGAGAAGGCGCCCAGGTCCAGGTCGTCGGCGGTAAAGGTTGCGGGGATGCTGGTGTCGAGGTTCAGATGGGATCCGGTGCTGCTGCCACCCCCGACAGACCAGTCGAATGAGGTTGGAGTGCTGGCCATGAGGTTCTGGTCAATCGACTCCATTCCGTGCATGGGGGCATTGACATGCCGGGCTAGTTGTGCCTCGAGTTGGTGTATTCGTCCTTCTAGAGCCTCTCGATGTTCACTTTTTGATTTAAGACAAGGGTCAGCTTAGTATCACCTCATTTGGTTCGTTCACGGCATCCTCCTTCCTTTTTTTATGGGGGAACATGTGGGGTAAACTGACGATGCCACGACCTCTTTCGGTTTCTGCGTTCTTATACACTGCACTGCAAAGCGCTTACACGTTGCGCATGGAGTCTCGCCGTCGCAGCGGATCTTCCTCCTTCGGCAGCGCTCGCAGGCATTGGAGACAGATTTTCTCCTAGGCTGCCAGTCCTTTACGGCCGTGGGAGAGAAGCGCGCTGGGCTTTCACCAGAAGGTAGAGAGGCTTTTTTTTCTTCTCAGCATAGTCTTGATGAAGGAGGGTCGCCAAGCTTACTGAAGGGGCACATGCTGGTTAGCAGTTGTAGAGCGTTCCGCGTCGGATGAGAAGGCTTCCGGATGGATTTGATCAATTGCGGTGAATGAAGAGGCAGTGATCATAAGACGGAGGCGTGAGTGGGAAGGGTACGACGGAGGACGAGATCTCGGGTTGTTTTACATCCCGCTGAGCGTAGCGGTGACAGACAAGATGGCTTGACTAATCGTCTACACCTGCCGTCGTCACCATCACAAGGGACAGACACGACACGAATTTCCGACAGTTGGGGCTTCATCCAGGGCCGTAACAGGGCTGCAGCGGGCGTTGCGTGTCGCGGGTGCTGATAGGCCCCAGGCCTGCGACGGGCAGGGCTATGCGTTTCGCATCGACTTTCCCTCTGCACGCCCACCTTCTAGAAAATGGGCCATGGGGGGTGGAGATTGCAGGGACGGGGACGCGGCCGCTCTCCGCGTCTGCAGCATAACTGTCGCATGCAGCCCTCGCCCGCGGTCGTCGAGAAATGCAAAAGGGCGGAATGGACGGTCGATTCCTCCGCTGACTTGTCGCAATGCCCCTTCAGATCTGTCCGCGCCATCGATTCAAGCAGAGTGAGCAGAGGGAACTGAGGGTGGGCCAGTGGGGCCCGCACGACGTTATAGTACTACTACAATTAACCTCCCGCCGCCCATGGTCTCGCCGCGCTCTTGGCACCCTGCACGAGCGTTGGTACAACTGCCGAACACACAGCAAACTATCCTTCCGTGTCGCATCCCTTTGGCTGACACATTTGCACACGACTCAGCACGCCTTGGCCCTTTCTTCACCGCGGCCCCGTCTATGTATGCGCCGTCGCTGGCACAACCATCGCATCTGGCCCACTCCCGTATCCCTCATATATACTACACTACATCCTTCAGGAACATGGCGCGAGTCACCCAAAACTCCAACTATACGCGACACAGTGGGCCGTTGGTGGATTGTACGCCCTTGCCAATGATTCCTCCGTCGTCAATCGCCCACCCTTCAGTACCAACCCCGTGGTGGACATAGAAGAGCATGCCAGCGTCGTATTTCCTCTTGATCTGCACGAGCCTCGGGTAATTGGCGCCCCAGAACGATTGCTGCCAATTGGGCTCCGCGATATCAGCTTCATTGCCATACGCGCCGCCCTTTGGCGTGATTTCTCGGAGCGGCGGCATGACGGTATTGGTAAGCTTTTCCACTGTCGCTTGCCATCCCGCAGGCGTCTGGTTCGCAACCGGTGTGATGACGACCATCTGGCTCTCTTCGTTCCGGAACGCGGGGTTGGCAGAGTTGAGCGTCTTGTTCTCCTGCTCGACTGGGCGCTGGTGGTACATGCTGACTACGGCTCCATTATCCACAGCGTAGCGGATGGCGGCAACGGTTTGATTGCGAATCTCAGAATCCTTCCAGTTGTCGGATGGCACCAGACGGTTCGCTGCGATGCCTCCAGCACCACCAATGACCCAGTCAAGGGGGGCAAATGTGGCCTGGTAAGCTGGGTAGAACCTCTCATGGTAAGTTGTATTCGCTTTCACCTCAATGCCCAGCGAAGCGCACTTTTCGTAAAAAGGCTTGATCAACGCCTCGTACTCGTCCACAGTTTTGTCGGTGGCGAAAAATGGCCCCATGGACCACATGTAGGCGCCAGGCCCCACCGACAGGATCGTAAAGAAAGAGTAGGTTTTGGCCCTGTTGTAAGCAGGCATGCTGTCAAAGTAAAACCTAAAAGCTTCCCAGAGCTTGTCACCACTGACAGTTTCGGATGTCGCAATCGTCCAGGTAGACGTGGTTACGGGGACCTGGCGATGGACCTTGACAATAGCAGACGTGACGATGCCAAAGGTGCCACCGCCTCCACCTAGCAAGGCCCAATACAGATCGCTGTTTACCTCCGGTGTCGCAGTGACGAAGCGCCCACTAGCCAGTACAACTTCGAGCGCGAGAACCTGATCAGAGCCGAGGCCGAAAAGCTGCATCAGAGGCGAATGACCACCGCCAGCCGAGTAACCTCCAGTGACACCAACTGTTGGACAGATACCAGCTATGGCAGACACGCCATACTTGTCAGCGGCCTCATACAGCTCGAATCCCTGGACACCAGCACCAAGCTTGAAGACCGGTCCTTTGTATGTGGTGCTCGCATAGTCCTTGATATACTTGATTTCTTTCAGTCCATGGGTCCAAATACTGAGCGCACCTTTTCCGACCGAACGGCCGTTGTAATCGTGACCGGTATTGCGAACAACCAGTCGGAGGTTCTGGTTGCGAGCGAGGTTTATCGCCAGCTGGATCTGAGCAACGTTGCTAACTTTGACGGCATACTCTGAGTAGCCACCCTGAGTGCAAGTGCCATTTGCAGAATCACCGGAAGCTGGAATTGGGCAAGTCATGCCATACCACAACGGATTCATCAGCGCACCATTGTCTTGGTAACTAAGTACGTTAGTTGCGTCTCGTGACGACACTGGATATACACATACTAAATCTCCTCGGTATTCCAATCCTTGACGAGCTCAGCGCATCTCGCAGCATCGTAGTTGTTGTATTGTGATTGCTTGTAGCAGGGCGAGGCGATAGGGACGATTTTCTCCAAAGCGCCACCGAGGAAGAAATCAAACAAACTCCATTCAGCTTGATTCGGGTACAAAGGATCACCAGGCATTGTTTTGCAGCGGGGAGCTTCACGCGCGCGGCGGCTGTGTGCAGACAGCCTGGGGGTCGGACTATCTCCAAATTCGAAAAGTGAAGCGTATTTTGCATATTCGTCGTGCTCTTTGATCGCTGCAATGACATTGTCAGTCAATTGCACTGTCTCTGTCTCAAAGAGCGACAGGTTTGCAGGTGTGACATGGACATCGACTATTTCTGCAGCCGGTGAAAGGGACACACTGGCTGGTGTATTCTGTGCTGATGCTAAAGCTGCATAGACTGCTGATAGAGCAAAAGACTTTGCCAGCATCTGGGGCAAGAATTGCTGAGACAGCTGAACGGTCGAGAGGAGTTGAAGAACGGATCCTTGGTGATTATCTCCCTGCGGCTCCAAAGATTTATACATCTACACCCTAGCTAATACCCATATGTCGGAGCGGAGGAACCTGCTGTTTCCATCGGCAATACTTTATTAATTGCTTGGTCCAATGCAGTTTGACGGCAGTAGTGTGAAAATAGCTCATAATGGTTCGCTACCGTTGGGCAAAGGATCAAAGTGCTTTTCTTCTAGAACGCCATGGGCGACCGGGTAAGTAAACATCTGCCGGGAATACTGGGCGCCTAGCACAGGGATGCATTTTGTCTACCTGCATCCTTTGGTGTCAATATTCTCCACGTGTTGTCGACACCGTTTGTATTTTGGATCCTACAGAATTGCCGTAGTGTGCCATTTGCATAGTAGCCTTCCACAAGATTATCCATTCCCCATGTTTTACAACGGGATTTTCGTTGGTTCGAAAGAAATGCGGTGTGCACTACAAGACGGTGCCTATACCACAATCTGGTTGACTTGAGTCCTTTTTTTGTAGAGCCACATTAACGTAATGGGGTTGTGGCCCGCTTTTCTAAGGCCCGCTACTCCACCCAAGATACTGCACTCCGCGGGTGTTCCGGGACTTCTTTCTAGGACGACCAAAAGAAGTTCGCTTAGTAGGCTTTCGCTTTTGTAGACATGACTTAGTGCTGATATTGGGTGTGTGCGAATCTAATAGATCAGCCCGGATGCAATATGTTATTGAAGTAAAAATAAAATGCCAACCCGCAAATGAGCAAAGGAGGAAGGGTGGCAGTACAAAGTTGGACAATATCTCGTTCTACATACTACGTGTAGTTCTTTGGTAGGGTTGAGTGGGAACCAACGTACCTTCTGTTTGATATTCAGTCAACGTCTCAAGAAGAGCTTCACTAAGCTCAACGAGCATCAGACTTCAACATGTCCCTGTGGGCCCCACACAGTTATTGCCGTAGGAAGCATCCAATGCTAGTTCTACGGTACTCACGTCAGTCGGCGGCATTCGGTGCCAGCTAACCCGCATGCGAGCATCGGCAATATTTCCGACCTCCGAACAACATATCCGGGTTAGCGGCTTCCCCTCAAATACCCTCGCTGCGGTTGGCCAAACCTTAAGATAGCATCTCGCCTTAGTATACACGCCGAGTACAAGAAGCCAAAACCATGCCGCGAATCAACGGAGCAGAGGTAGCAAAGCATCACAGCAAGAACGATTGCTGGATCGTGCTGGATTCGAAGGCGTACAATGTGACCAACTTCTTATCAGAACATCCAGGTGGCGCACCAATCATCTTGAAGAATGCAGGATCGGTGAGTGTATAGCCGTGCATGATGGGAGAGTTTTCTGACAATTGAATAGGATGCGACAGAAGAGTTCAAAAAGTATCATCCATTGAGCTATCTGGAGGACTACCTACCGAAAGAAGCTCTCCTGGGACCCGTTGATCCAAACACCTTTGGCCAGCTTCGTCAAATCAAAGATACAAGTTCCAGAAAGCCGTCAGACACGGATCCCAATTCCAATGAAATTCCTCATGTCAGTCTTTGTGTCTCTACGACCGACTTCGAACCAGTGGCAAAGGCAGTTATGCCTCACAAGTCATACGTCTATGCCTCTGGCTCCGCAAACACGGGTGCATCGATCAAAGCCAACATTGATGATTGGGGTCGCATAAGTTTCCGTCCACGTGTAATGCGCAATGTAGGCGAGATAGATACGCGCCGCAAGATCTTTGGACATAGCTCACCGTATCCATTCTATATTTGCCCTATGGGAACAATGGGCGCGATCCACGAAGGTGCCGAGCCAGAAATGGTACAAGGAGCAGTCCGCAAAGGGATACATACGCTTGTCAGCACGGCAAGTTCCAAGAGCAGCGAACAAATCATGCAGAGCTATCTCGACGAACAGAAGCGGGTTGGCAATGGAAGCCCAACGCAACTCTTCTACCAATACTACATGCCCGTAAACAAGGACAAGGCTCTCGAACTCATCCGCATTGTAAAGCGCTGCGGATACAAGGGCCTGTGGATAACAGTCGACGCGCCCATTCTAGGAAAGCGCACCGCAGATCGCCACCTTCAGGCCGAGGAGGCGCTCGCAGTCGGCCTTGCTGATGAAGGTCCCGGAGACTGGGAGATCGGCGGTGACAACGCCTTTGCTCCTGCCATGGGCGGACGCCCAGTCCAAGGCCAGTTGACTCCATACATGACATGGGACGACTTGCAATGGGTCCGTAAAGAATGGGATGGTCCGATTGTGCTCAAGGGCGTTCAATGCGCAGAAGACGCGAAACTTGCGATGGAATACGGATGCGATGGTATCTTACTGAGTAACCATGGCGGCAGGCAATTGCACACTGCGCCTAGTGCACTCATGACGCTCCTTGAAATCCGTACCTACTGCCCAGAAGTCCTTAGTAAACTAGAAGTCTTTCTTGATGGCGGACTGAGAGATGGAAACGATGTGCTTAAAGCATTATGCCTGGGTGCTACGGCAGTCGGCGTTGGAAGGCCGTTCCTCTACGCACTTGGTGCCTATGGCTCCAAGGGGGTAGAGAGATGTGTTGATAGTAAGTTTAAACATGTGAGAGATTGGATAAGGCGACTTTGCTAACGTTTCAATTAGTACTCGCGGATGAGCTAGACACCGGAATGCGCTTGCTGGGTATCACGTCCTTGGATCAGTGTAGACCCGAGATGGTGAACGCGAGTCGCTTGTTGAATGAGATGTGGCGACCTGAGCAGTTGAATCTGAAGAGCAAGCTATAGACATAGAACATACAGTATCGGCTTCGGATACGCTTTTTGATTGCGCTGTTGTGTGTATTTGCGGCTATCGTTGTTCTGACTCTTGTGGTTTTGGTGGTATTTGCGGTGCGATCACAAGCCGTTGAAAAGCGAAAATGACTAGTAACCCTGCAACCCCACATTAACCGCAGAATTTTTTAGACACCACAAATTTTTACGAATTCTATTTGAACATTGTGTCTGTATTGTGGTCGATGAAACCACGATTCGGTCGTTTACTTTCCAAAAACCCTGTGCTATAAATTTGTGCAAAATTGCTTGTTTTGTATCAAACACCTTACGGTGAGATGGCCGAGTTGGTTATGGCGCCAGGTTAAGGTCTTCTTAACATCATATTCCTGGTCACGAAAGTGGCGTGGGTTCGAGTCCCACTCTCATCAGCATTCGTCTGCTTCAGCAGATACCCCAGGGTTCTTTTTTTGCCAGTGTGTCAGTCTCCAAGCGTAGGCTACACGGGTCAGTTCTTTTTGCATGTTGGACTGCAATACATGTAGACTGGATAAGATTTTCATGTTTTTGGAAGATACATGTATGTACCTGTCTCAGGTTACCTACAAGCATAGTCGCCTCACTTCTTTGCAACAGCAACATGCGCTACCATAGGAAACCCAACCACTTCCACAATTTCCGCATCCTTCTTCCCATTCACCGGCCTCTTCGTCGTAACAGCCTCCTTCCTCCCTTCCACAACAAGTTGCTTCCCAAACTCGACATACTCATCCTCGGTCCACTTGGGCCCAACCTGCTTCCACATATCCACCAAGAACCCACACGTTTCCTCCAGACTCGTCCCCGCAAAATGCACAGTCACCTCGCTCATGGCCACGCTTTGAAACCCGGCTTCCCTTAGCATTTCCTGAAGGTGCTCAGCTTCATACCACTCCTTCGCAATCGGCCACTCAAACAGCGGATCCTGGGGCCGCACGGCTTTTTGCGCGCGGTGCAGGACAGGCATGTAGCCTGTGGCCTTCCAGGTTGTGACGATGGCGGTGCCGGTGGGGAGGAGGGTGCGGTGGATTTCGCGGGCGCCGCGGAGGGCGTCGGTGAAGAAGAAGATGCCCATGTTTGTTATGGAGTGTGTGAAGGAGTCTGAGGGGAGGGGTTCGAGAGCGTCGCCTGGGAGGATGTGGAAGGATAGGTTTGCGGTGTTTGAGGGGTGGATGGCGGGGATGGTGTGCTGGGCCAGGCTGATCATTTGTGGGGAGGAGTCGGTGCAGGTTATCGTGGGGGTGAGGGACGGGTTTTGGAAGAGGAGTTCTTGCGCGAGGATGCCTGGGCCGCAGGCGTTGTCGTGGATGTGCGAGGTGGAGGAGACAGGGGGGAGGAGGGAGAGGAGGTGGGTGGCAAGTTGGCGGGTGCAGCCGCCGGAGGTGACTTCGTATTTTGAGGCCAAGTCAGAGAATAGGTTGTCCATTGAGGGTTCTGAGGAAGTCATGTTTTTCGTTTTCGTTTGGTGGGGTGTAGGGGGTTGATGTGTGTGAGAGAGTTTGCTGGAGTGCTTTGGATGTGGGCTCAAGGTGAGTTTAAATGTGTAGAGTGTTAATGAGCGAATTGCAGAGAAATTTTGTAGAAAAAAACTATCACTTTAAGAGATGGAGACTTTGTGTAAGCAACCTTGTTCTGGTACTGATTAGTCTCCATTGCGTTTGGACTATGCTTCGGATACTTTTTACACATAAAAAGTTTCCGACACTACGAAGTCTCATGTACAACCCCCCATCCCCTATCCCTCCACCACCAATCAGAAAATAAAAACACTACAACCGCACATCCTCCCTAAACCTAACCAACCCATCCTGAAAAGTAGTCGCAACATGCACCCCCCTCTCATAATCCCACATGCGACTCATATACAGCGCCCTCCCCTTCGCCGCCCGCGTAACCCACGACTCCTGCACGAACCACTTCCTCCCATCCCGATCCGCCTTCCCATACCCCTCCAGATTACACACCGGCAGCGGCCCGTCGTCCCAGAAGGTTGGATCAGCGTCCGGATGATCGACCCGCGGCTCAGGAGCCATGACGAGATCGCGGATGCCCGTGTGGAAAATTACACTATGGCTGAGCGATGCCATGCGCGTGAAGTCGCGGGGTTTATCTAGGTGCCGGGGGACAATCTGTGGGGATTGGCAGTCGGAGGCGTAGAGGTGGGTGCAGGCGTGTAGGTTTGCTTCTCGGGTTGGGTTTGTCTTTCTGGGATCATCTGATGGAGGTGGGAAGGGCGCTGTGGGTAGGGGTAGCGATCCTCGCAGCGAGTAGAAAGTCAGTTGCTTTCGGTCGAGTGGTGCGCGGGTGCGGTTGTAGTTTGCCATTTCGACTTTTCGGAGGTGCAGGCCGGGGACTGGGTTGAAGTGGTTTGGGTGGGCTGGGAGATAGTCTTCGACGAATGCAACTGAGTCGTTGCTGGGGGTTGGGGCGTGCTGCATTGGTTCATTTTCTCGTCCTTTTAGTACTTCGTGATACGTTTCTTTTAGGTTGATGTGCTCTTGGGCATCGACTGATGCGCTTTCTTCTCGCTTGAACGAACATGTGCATGTGAACGTGCTGCCTTTTGCTGCGGCTTGGGTCACGGTCACGTTGCGAGAGCAGTAGTTGTAGCCATCGCGCATTTTCTCCACTCGGTAGGTAAAGTGCTCATTGGGGTTTCCAGCGAGGTTGAACCAGCCGGTGATATTCTGGTGGCTCAGTCAGCTGGATGGCAGAACGTCAACCTGAGGCTGCAACTCGCATGTATCAGGAATCCCTCTTTCACGGTTTGTGCTGCAGCCCATGCAGCTTGCGCAAAAATATGACCGCCATACGTCCCATTTTCTCCACCTGTTGGTGAGTAGCCTTTGGTTATCGAGCGGAACGTCAACTCGTCGATTTGTTCGAGCTCTATGAGTTTGTCGAAAGGAAGCACTTTTCTTTCTTTGGTAAAATACGGACGAACGACCATGATGCTAGCGAGAGTGAATACAAGGTTGAGACATGGGTGGCTACTAGTTCTAATTTAATGGCGTATTATAACAGCCTAATCAGAATCACATCTGTGAGCTGAGCTCGCAAGTTACCTCGGAATACGAGCAGCAGACAAAGCGCGGGGTCGGATAACAATAGGAACAAACCAATCATCTCAGTGGCGCCAAGCTAGTTGTGTTACACAAAAGCAATATAGTTTCTGGCTTATCCAAAATCGTGCAGCTAGTACACACACCGACTCGTCATATAGCTGTATGCAACGCAGCTTAGCGTTTTTAGGGGCATCTACAGCCATCGAATTTCAATGACATATACCAGCTTGATATATCTTATCTTCTATTTAGAAACCATAGCCTCAGGTAGTAAAACACGAGGCCAATACACCATATGGCAACAAGAACAATAGCTTGTATGGGTGCAAAGACAGCGCCGCGAATGACAACAAACCCACTGATCACAGCAAATATAATAGGTACGAGGATCAGGGGTTTGACAGGTCGAGGGAGCTCTGGTTCCCGGAAGCGCAGAATTATTGCGCCAAGGACTGTGAGGAAGAAGAATGCATACTCAGCAAGACCATTGAGTGTGAGCAAGATACGCATGTTTCCGAGCAATATGTAAATTGCAGAGAGGACGGTGTTGAGAATCAGTGCGTTGCTAGTGACAATCAGAAGATGTTCAGTGTGCTCAATGGATACCACTTACATTGGCGACTCTCCGTTGTCCATTGCAAGGTCTGCTGGTTCACTTTCCTCGGTATCGCTTAGGACTTTCAATGTGCCGATATGTCCGACGGTACCAAGGATATATGGGAACCAGTTGTTGTTAGCCGCCGCTACAGTCATTCTTCCAGCAACAAAAGAGTTGCCAAGTGCAGAACCGGCAATGACTAGACATATCAGAACGGTAGCAAAGTATGCTACACCCTTTCCTAGAAAATGTGTGACAGCCGTCTACCCAGAGTCAGCAAGGATTCAGGTACGCAAGACTTTCTGCGATACGTACCACCGCGGCAGCGTCAGTTGTTGACACCACTTCCCATGGAAGCAGAACATAGTAAACAGCATTGGCCGCTACGTAGCAAAGAATGATGGTTGGAATAGCAGTGTTAATGGAAAGTGGCAGCTGGCGGCTGGGATTGCGAAGCTCAGCTGCAACATAATTGGCCTTGTCCCACCCAGAGTACGCCCATAGAGCCCCGTACAGCGCTGTGCTGTAAAATCCCAGTGATTCCCACGTAGTCACCTTGGTCCAGTCAAATCGCGAACCATCAGGCAGTACTGTATCGCGTGGCGAAAACCAGTTGTTCTGATGCCAATCACCCCCGCCTAGGTCCTTGCTTTTTCCGAGGAAAACAAAGACGACAACCAACCCAGCAACTATGAGAAGAAAGATTGTGAGCAGCTTTATGGCGACAAAGAAGCTCGACAACCGAGTGCTCGTCTTGGTGCTGATGGAGTTGAGAGTCGTAACACAGACCAAAACAAGCAGAGACAACAGCTTATGAGTCAAGGGCGGATCAGGCTCGTTGATACCCAAGCTGGAGTATATAGACTCAACGAATACAATACTGAGAATCGCAAGGGTGGCTGGCATAGTTGCAACTACCCAAGACCAAGCCGCCATGTACCCAAACACATCGCCGTAGATGTAAGTAAGGTACGGTTGGATGCCGCCCTCGCCAGGAAACGCAGTCCCCAGCTCGGCCATGGTGAGCGCACCCGTCCAAGCAAGGATACCTCCGACAAGCCATACGAGAAGACCAGCACCAGGCGATGGGACGTTTGCGTCGATAGGGCCAGGAGATGAAAAGACGCCAGATCCGATAACGATGCTTATCAGTAGAGCAAAGCCGTCCAGTGCGCCGAGATTGCGAGCAAATGTGCTTCGAGGTACTGCGGTTTCTTCATGTTCTTCGTCGGGCTCGTACGAGGTAGTCGATTCCTGACGGAGCAAGGGCGCCGTCTCCGAGGATGCCATTGTCGTGTTTTTGGAGGCGTGGAAGGGGTGGCGGGTTACTGTGGTACTATGGTTGTGCCGAGGTGATTGCGCATCAGCGCGTGATACAAGCTGAAGCCTTACAGAGCTCTTCCTGGACGCGTCTGGAAATCGCTAGAAGCCAAGTATTGTTGTCCCACCGTCCTAGGAGTGTTGCTTAACTTGAGGGCCGAGGTGCAAATGTTCAGGCGGCTAGACAGGGCACACGCTGAGGCGCGACATTATCGCGTCAAAACGGAGCTATGTTACGTCATCCCGAATTCGCGCGGCCATTTCATGCAACAGGTTGCAAGACTGTGCACAAACATTTTGACATGGAATCTTCATCATATTTGCATGTTTTGAAATCATGTATACGATTTTCTTCAATAATTTTCTATAGCAAGTAGTTTCCGCGCTGTTCTCCATTTCGCCTCAAATTTGAACGACTACAATGCGCAGATTAGAGCTATTTTGAGACCTGATAAATCGCCATTGGCGCTGGTTCGAAAGGGCTGGTTTCAATACCAATGTTACTTTATCAGCATATGATTCGGCTCGTCGGTCTAAGGGTATGCACGGATCTATACGACAAACATCTTCGCGCAAAACGCAGAGAGCAACGCGCCTGGTGACATCATTCAGCCACTCGCTGGGTCTGGAACAGTTTGTGGATAGACACGAAGCAGGGCATGTGACGGGGCAATAGCGAAAACGAGGAGAGAAAAGAAAACCAAGAACGCATACACACATGCGTGCATGCGACTAGCAGATTGCTGGTTCAGGTTCCTTGACCCGATTGTAAGTTGGATAAATTGTTCCATTCGAACCAGGTGGGATTCCAGACATTTTCCGATTGGTGCTAGATCAGATTCCACATTTTCCATGTGAAACTGCATCATTGCCATGGATCTACGAGGGGTCGCCATGTAATTCGTTTACAGTGGATGGAGATTTAGAAAAGGCGGGGTGGTGGAGTTTGAATGGTTACCAATATGACGGACCAATGACGCTTGGTGGATCCTGCGGGACCTAGTTGCTGCTCCCGGACTACCCCAGGGCTTAGCGCTGTCCATCATCATGGCGACGTCACTCCCAGGACGACGAGTTGTTTGTTACAAGAGATTTCTAGGGCCTTTAAAGCTCTAGATCCTTACTGCAACCTCCAATCCACTCCTCCTATCAAGATACCCAAGTCCTCCTCGCTTTTGTTTTCAAAAATACCCTCGTCGATACTATTTGAACAAGGCCCATCCACATACATTTCAAAATGTTTTCAAGACAAGCAACACAAAATGCACGCTTTGCGGCTCGCTGTGCACGTCGACCAGCTGCTCGCGTAGCAAATACCCAGTACCGCGCTCAACACCCGCGCTTCCAGTCAACCCAGACAGCCAGCTCCACTAACTCGGGTGCTGGTACACATGCCGCAGTTGGTGCTGCTTCTGGTGCTCTTGCCGCAATCACCGTCGGCTATATCTTCTACAGACAATCGGGAGCCCGGGAAGTTGTCGTGGCCTCCAAGACTGCACAAGGTTACGTCAAGTCGGCTTCACAAAAGATCAAGGAACAGACCCCCGAGCCAAACGAGGCGCTACAATGGCTTCGTCAAGCGGCTCAGAGTTATGCCGCGTTCATCCCCGGTGCCAAGGGTTACGTTGACTCTGCCTTTGACGATCTCGACGCTATACGAGCGAAGCACGGTGACGAAGTCGACAACATTGTGCGCGAAGCATACGATGAAATGCGACAAGTCCTGGGCAAGGGTGACATGAGCCTTGTCACTGCACACCAGACTTGGGACGTCATTACCAAGCACATGAGCCGCATTGCAGACCTTGCCGGCGACGCGTCACAGCAAATCATGGACAACCACCCACAACTGAAGGAGAAGTTGGGCGGCAACATCGACAAGCTCAAGGAGTACGGCGACAAGTATGGCCCTGAAGCAAAGAAGGAAGTCGACAGGACCTGGAAGCAGATCAGTGACGTTGTTAAGACTGGTATGAGTGCCGGTAATATTGAGAAGATCAGGAGCATAGTGCAGGAGAAGATTGAGAAGCTGAACAAGATGGGTGACGAGGCGTGGAAGAAGGGCATGGAGCAGGCAAAGCCCTATCTTGACAAGAACCCACAAGTCAAGAAGCTTGTGGAAGAGAACGCTGATGCGCTGAAAGGAGGCAACGTCCAAGAGCTGTACCAGCGCGTCAAGTCGGCCGTCGAGAAGGGCGACACTGGTGACCTTCAGTCGTACATCAAGAGCGTCGCAGACAAGGCCAAAGATGGTGGTTTTGGCGACTACGAGCAGTACCTCAAGAAGATTCCCGGTGGTGACCAGATATTACCCAAGCTAAGCCAGCTTCAAGAAGTGGCCCAGAAGCACGGTGACGAGGCACAGAATCTTCTCAAGGAAGCCGTATCGGAGATCTCAGACATTCTGCAAAAGAAGGGTGACGAGGCGTCCAAGCTTGCTGAGAAGGCCAAGGAGGACTCGAAGAAATAGAGCGCTGAGCTCGGTTAGTGAGCATGGGGAGGAATGTTGCCCAACTTGCATCTGTACTCTAGTGTATTATCAGCATCCATTGCATGGTGAGCAAATGACACGAATGAAATGATCGATACTAAGATATGCGTGAACAAGAACTACTGCGGGTCTATCCATACTTCCCACTCGTATTGCGCATTAGCCGTTTAGAAGTAGACATCTTCGGGCAGGACTTGCATCTTGTATTAAGGCTGTTGCCAGTATCGTGTAACAATGAAAATTCGCGCAAGCCATGTTTACCTAGCGGCTAGGTGCATTTTTGCACAGCGATGGCCGGTGCAACGTCGAGGACACAACAGGCCCGGCCCACGAGACGCGTGTCAAGAGTGGGAACAGCTGAGTTCTTGCTGTAAAGGTAACAGTCCTGAGGAGAGGCTCCGGATCTATAAGGGAAGTTGATATGCACGGATATACGCGAGGCGGCCAACTACGAACAATAAGCGACCGGATGAGAGCGGCACAGGTCCGATACATTGGACAAGGCAAGGATGTTTCATCTATGCTGTGGTTGGGCGTGCGGTGCTCAACCATGCTTTTGAGTAAAGTGCTGATGGCTGCATACGATCTAAAGGACCAAGTATTGACGAAACAACAGCCTCTCCGCATTGTGGCTGCATGGAGACGTAGGCGAGGATGCACGCTTGTCACTGCCTGCATGCAGGAACTGCTCACTGTGCACACCGCAGGCCGTGTCAGAGGCATTAGATTTGCTCACGCGGGGTGAGGCGATGCCCATGGTGACATGTCGGGCCGCGTGGATTGTAGTGATACAGACGTAGTGCCCAAGCGAGCAAAGGGGGCATCCGGTGGAGTAGGTCAGCAAAACTGCAGTTCCCACGCTGCGACCAAAGACAGCAAAGGCAGTGGATGCAGGTAAAAGACAGCCGGCGTACGGCAGAGAAGATGCGAGAAAGGTGACCCCACCATGTTGCAGGCAGGCGTGGTGGTGGGGGGGAAGCCAAGGTGAGAGCAAAGTGGTGAGAGAAGTTACATGCGTCCCACCAATGGCCTGCGCACGCTCCACCAGATTGGCCAATGACGTAGGTGCGCCTGCCCACTGCTGCACCGCCGCCGCCCTCCCATGCCTGACACCCGGCAGGCGCGCTCACTGCTGCTTATTTACTCGAGTCCCAACGAGTCCCTTAAAATCCTTATCTTCGCTCTTCCTACCTCCGCACCCAACACTTTACCAGGCCACTTTGAGCAGTCAGTTAGCAGCACTGATAACCCACCCTGCCTCGATTCCAGAACACCACAGCAGCCATGGGCAAGGTAAACACGCACCCCCACCTTGGAAATGTACCCCGCCAGTACCCCGCTAACGCATGCATAGGCAAAGTACATCATGCTCGACTGCGACAACACGCTCGTCCAGTCTGAGCGCTACGCCTTCGAGGCCTGCGCTGACCTCACCAACGAAGTGCTCAGCAAGCACAACATCGACGCCAGGTACACGGCCGAGACGCTGCTTGAGGACTTTGTCGGCCACAACTTCCGCGGTATGCTCAACGGCCTGCAGAAGAAGCACAACTTCCAGATGCCGCCTGAGGAGATGGACGACTATGTCCAGCAGGAACTGGGCGCTGTCACTCGCAAACTGAGCCAGAAAGCGGTTGAGTGTCCCGGTGTGACTGAGCAGCTCAAGTGGCTCAAGGAGCAGGGCTACCCCATGGCCGTTGTGTCGACTTCAGCCAAGAGCCGTGTCGTTGCGTCGATTGAGAAGGCGGGCATCGACCACTTCTTCCCCAACGAGCACGTCTACTCGGCTGCCACGTCGCTCAACCCGCCCTCATCCAAGCCTGACCCCAAGATCTACCTGTACGCAGCCGAGCAGCTTGGTGTCAAGCCTTCGGAGGCTGTGACGGTCGAGGACAGCAAGAGCGGTGCGACGGCTGCCATGCGCGCCGGTATCCCTTGCATAGGATATGTCGGCATCTACGGCATCGAGGAGGGCAAGGAGAAGATGGAAGAGATGGCCAAGCTCCTCAAGGAAGAGACCAAGTGCGCGGCCATCATGTACGACTGGAAGGACTTCCCAGAGTGCCTCAAGAAGGTTGAGGCTTCCATGTGAATGCATGGCAGAGCACCAGGCATGACGAAGATCTGATGAGCTCGATACGCGACTGCGGACGAGACTACGACCATTGACGGCTTCTATGAGTATATACATTCAATAATGAATATTTGACGGGCATGGCGCCCTCCAAAGAGGTATTTCAGGGTGATTGTTTGTGTTGTTTGGGTGTGATGTTTACGGGCTTTGACATGTGACGCAACAGTGGAACCCCCGCGACGGTCGGCAGCGGACGCGACGTGACGGCCCAATGTTGCCCCGCCGTCCCCACCGGCTCACGATGGAAAGAGTAGACTGGACTGCACCAAATGGACAAGACTTGCTGGTGCAGTTCAAATTGGCATGGTTCATCCGCACTACGGGGCGTCTTCTATTGGAGGTCTGCTTGCTTGGGCCAATTAGCAGCGATGCAATGCAGCGACGAAGAAAAAAACGCATGCGCAGCCCCATTGGGCAGAAAACTCAGTCATCACGAGGTATTCGGACAGCATGGCTTTTGCCCTACTACAAGTACATGCTCAGATAGACAAGCATGCATGAAAGAGGGCGACACTGGGCCTGGGACGATTTTGGCCGCGTTGTGCAAGTCGGAGGTTATTGCCAGCGGTGCACTTGCATTCCTAAGTAGTAGTATTCCCATGGCGTTGCTGGGTGCCAAGGCATGTCGGCAGTGCGGCAAGCATAGTTATTGCCAGCCAAAAGCAGTGCTTCTCAACAAGCTTGGCGTGCAAAAGCTGGTGCGTGCGGGCATCACGTTCTCTGCCCTTGGACACGCCGTCTGCGAGCAAGGCGAGCGATGCAACATTGGAATTGCCCCTCTTGGGATCGTGCGCGCAACGCGTTATCTTTGGCGTTTTGACGATCGCGCTCTTGGCAGCTTTGTTCCGCCGCCGGATAGGAAGAGTCGACTGCGGCCAAGACATCTTAGACGAAGCCTCCTTCCCGAACCGTGCGCCCATCCGCAAGTCAAGCTTTTGCTTAATCTAGAAGCCCAATGCTCCTCTCCATAGGCCTGCCTGCCCTGGCTATACAATGCTTCGTATCCATACCATGCACCGCTTGTGCACCCACACCACTGCGTACCATGGGTCACCATGCCCATGGCAGCATCCAAAGGGGGCAGGTAGCCTCTAGACCTGCCTCGTTCGCCATAGGGGTTGCATTGTAGTCATTTGCCATGTACCAAGTCTCCATAGCAGACAATGGACATTTAAGACCGTCCGTGGGCCTGTAGTGCCTCGAGCACCGCTGTCTCGTTGCCTCTCAAGCCACCGCAAACATGTTCCTACGCACAGCTCTCCTCTCGCTGTCCGCCCTCGCCGTGGCAAAGGAAATGCCCAAAGATGAGCTTAGGGCCGCCCAGCTCTATGACTCTGGCATCAGGCACGAGAACAACATGGCCCTGAAGAAGGTCGCGACCCCGTTCCGCTATCCCCGGCTTTGATGTTAACCGGTAACAGGAGTCATGGGCCAAACAAGAGGCTGCGGGCATGTACAACTCTGCCCAGTTCGCCGAGGTCAAGAACAAGGTCGAGTGCATCAACGGAACTGCCATCACCGACACCGATGTCTTCAAGTGCAAGAACGTCAGTGAAAATAGTCCCCTAGTCGGATAGCAATGGCTGACCTATGGCTAGATCGATCTCCTCCACTTCTTGTCTCACGCCGAGCTTGGCAGTACCCGTGGTGTCGGATCTTCATCGTGGGGTAAGTGATATGCATACCCTTCACAATGGCCCATGCTGATGACTTGCAGGTTGGACCTCGGACGACGGTCGCGAGTTTGTTGCAATCGGACAGCAAGATGGTGCTGCCTTTGCTGAGATCAACAAGGAGGGCAAACTAGTATACCTTGGACGTCTGCCAGCATACTCGACCCCCAGCACTTGGCGTGAGATCCGTGGCCAGAACAACCTGATGATCATCGGCAGTGAGGCCCAGGGACACGGTATCCAGATCTTCGACATGAAGAAGCTGCTCACGGTCAACCCGGCTTCCCCCAAGGTCTTCAGCAACTCCGCGGATCTCACTGGTCACTTCAAGGGCCTCCCCAGCGGCCGAACTCACAACGTCGTGACCAACCCCGAGACCAACTTCATCTACGCCGTCGGAGCGCAGCCCAGGACCGACAAGTGCAAGTCCGGCATCATCTTCATTGACATCACCGACCCCTCCAACCCAACCACTCCTGGATGGTAAGTCTGCAAGCCTCGACATCCTCAACACGCAGCTGACATGCCATCTCAAGTGCGTCGCAAGACGGTTACGTGCACGATGCTCAGTGCCTTATCTACCACGGCCCCGACACGCAGTTTGAGGGCCACGAGATTTGCTACGGCTATAACGAAGACTCGCTTTCCATGCAAGTTAGCACTTTGGATCAAATGAGCAGCACTGACAAGGCCCAGCTATGACGTAACGAACAAGAAGGCTCCTGTCCTCCTGTCCGTCACTTCCTACGAGGGTGCAGCATACACCCACCAGGGCGCTGTCTTGGACCCCAAGAACCAGAAGTACCTGCTTCTCGACGACGAGTACGATGAGTACGACAAGGTTGGCCCCGGTGTCCCAGGAAACCCCATCACCTACATCTGGGACATTTCATCTCTGCGCGCACCAAAGCAAACCGGACTGTACAGGAGCGGAGCCAAGGGTGTCGACCACAACCAGTATGTTGCCAATGGTTTCGCATACCAGTCCAACTACGGCACTGGTTTCCGTGTCTTGGATGTCCGCTCGATTCCCCAGGATCCCACCGGTGCTGGTGTTCGGGAGGTCGGCTTCTTCGGTAAGTTTTTTTTCCCGCCACTTTGCTATTGAAGAATATCAAAATTGATTATGATAGATATTTACCCCGAGGACGACAACATGCCCGGCGGCGGCAGCGTTGACTTTGTTGGAACTTGGTCGAGCTACGCGCTCTTCAAGAGCGGACACATCCTAGTCAACACTATGGAGCGTGGCGCATTCGTTGTCAAGTTGCAGGCGGGTTTCGACAAATAAGCAAAGAAGGAATAATGATAATGATGGCCTAGGCTTTCTTGTATCTAGTCGAGACGTTGTAGTTCTGTAAATATCTATCGGTCCTAGTCGTATTCGGCCGGTGCGAGTGTGGCTTGACTTATCAATTCGTAATTTGGCCAAACATACTCGGCTTTATTCCTTGCCCGCTCTTTTTTTGATCATATACCCGTTGCCAAGTCCAGCGCATAATAGCCGTAGCAGTAGCGTAGTGAAGGCTACCGAGGCTCGGTTTGGTCTGGCACAACAAGCCACTTTAGTCACACATTGCGTATTCTTTTGATCAAAATGGGAACAACCTGCTGCTAAGCCGAGAGCTTCTCGAAGTGTTCCAGTGGCGGGATCGTCGTTTTGCCTCCTCCATTATCATCCGCCCTGATTCTGGCGCTATCATGCCAAGGCGATTCGATGGGGGATGGATGTCTCTTGGCGGGGAGTAGATTCTTGGCCGCCATCTAGCTTCCCAATCAAGTGTCGTCTGGCCGTGAGCTAGGTATGTCCGAGAGATGATGCGGCTATTCTCCTTCCTCATACAACACAGCATCACGCAGCCAAGTCGACTTTCATCAATTTCGTCGCCTTCGCCCCCAGCCCTTCACCCGGCTACCCGTCACCAATAACCCACAGCATGCCTTGAATACCCATTTCCCGGTTCCCGAAAAGTGGTCAACTAGCGATCGCGATAGCAGCTGCCTGAACTGGCTAGGCCAGGGAGCACGCGACTATGCTAACCCAACTCTCGTAGTCGTTTATGAGGATGTCAGCCAGAGTATATAGAGCCATGCAATTCCGGCTGCATCTGGCACGGCAGCCCTCTCAGTCTTTGCTCATCCCTCGTTCTCAATATTCAAGATGAGGTTCGTTCCATTCGTTGCGCTCGCTGCGCCTGTCCTTGCCCAGGTCGGTCCCAAGCCAAACCCAAACACAAAGCCCGGCAAGCCTCCAAAGCCTGACGACAAGCCTAAGAAGCTCGTCACTCCCAAGGATCTGATCAAGGACATCAAACTTGAGGATCTGCTCAAGGGCTCCCAAAAGCTCCAAGACATTGCCGACGAAGCTGGCGGTAACCGTGCTTTTGGTGGCACAGGGCACAACGCGACCACCGAATGGTTGTACCAGACTTTGTTGGCCACTGGTTACTATGACGTGTACAAGCAGCCATTCGTTGAGCTTTTCACCGCTGCTACGACCAAGTTCACTGCTGGTGGTGAAGAGATTCCCGTCTCTTACATGACCTTTGGCCCCTCTGGCGATGCCACTGCCAACATTGTCAAGGTTAACAACCTGGGATGCGCCGCCGAAGACTACCCCGCTAGTGTTTCTGGCCAACACGCACTCGTCTCCCGAGGCACATGTACTTTTGCCCAAAAGTCTACCCTGGCCAAGGCTGCTGGTGCTGTAGGCGCGCTCATCTACAACAATGAGCCAGAGCAGCCCCTCTCAGGTACTCTTGGAGGTGCAGGTGACTACGCTCCTACTGTCGGTATGACCAAGGAGGCTGGAGAGTCTCTCATTGCTAAGCTTGGAAACGGCACTACACTTGAGGGAACCCTCTTCATCGATGCCATCCAGGAAAACCGCACCAACTACAACGTCATTGCTGAGACAAAGGAGGGCGACCACAACAACGTTCTCATGATTGGTGGCCACACCGACTCCGTCTTCCAGGGTCCTGGTATCAACGATGACGGATCTGGTACTATTGGTACTCTGGTTACTGGTCTTGCTCTCACCAAGTACAAGATCAAGAACGCCGTTCGTCTTGGTTTCTGGGGCGCCGAGGAGTTTGGCAAGCTTGGATCCTTCTACTACATGAAGACCATCAACGGTACTTTCGGCGGCAGCACCGCAGAGGCTAACAAGATCCGTGCCTACCTCAACTTCGACATGATTGCCTCGCCCAACTATGTCCTCGGTATCTACGATGGTGATGGCAGTGCATTCAACTTTTCTGGCGCAGCCGGTTCCGACAAGATCGAGAAGGACTTTGAAGAGTTTTACGAGGAGCGTGGCCTTCCTCACGTCCCCTCCCTCTTTACCCTCCGCTCCGACTACGCTGCCTTCCTCGAGAACGGTATCCCCTCTGGCGGTCTCTTCACCGGTGCCGAAGTCCTCAAGACCGAGGAGGAGGCCCAGCTCTTCGGCGGTGAAGCCGGCAAGCCCCTCGACGGATGCTACCACCAGGCCTGCGACGACATCAACAACCTTGCCCACGACGCCTACCTCCTCAACACCCAGAGCATTGCCAACTCCGTTGCCAAGTACGCCGTCTCTTTCGAGGGTATCCCCAAGGCCAACGCTACTCTCCGCAAACGCGGTGCTGAGTCGGCAAGGTTCATGAGCAGGTTCGACCACGGTGGCCATGAGCACCTTGGTCAGCCTTGCGGTGCTGGAAAGCACGCTATTTAAATTTCAATGTCTATAATGATTTGCTGGGGTGAAAGGAAATGATGAGATGATACCATGAGAGAAATCTTTTGTAAAAGTAGATGAAGAATAATACCCATTTTTTTGTGTTCATTTTGACTAGTCTTATGCTGTGCCTGGCGATTGAATGCTGTGAAATTTCTTTTGGTTCCTTTTTGTCAGTTTTTCGTAGTTGTACTATTGCTGTTTGAAAGAGTCAAGCCATCTAGATATGTGGCACCCTAACCAACTAGACAAAGGCATTTAAGTCTGCTTCCTCACTACTAAATATCCATTACCCTGGAACATTCATGTCAGAAAAGCACAAGTTTTAAAACAAATAGTTTCTTCCAGTTCAACTATCAAATACATATTAAACCGCACACCCTCCCCCCTATATTACCACTCAAGTCCAACAACGAAAAGATTATATACTGAAAAATCTCCTACCCACTCTTATCCACTCCTGCAAACAAAAAAACCCCAGGCCGAGATTGAACTTTCCTCCTTTCTCCTCACAAACCACGTGATTGGTGATATACAGTAGCTAAATGCCACCGAAACCCTGTACCACGCTCCCTACTCAAATCCACGTTAGTTTTATATACTTTTTGTAATTCGAGATTTCTACACAATCCATTCCCAACGAAGATCCGCCCCCCTCCCTCCCCCCAAAAAAGAATGATAGTGAGAGATGTAGAGAAACGGGGGAAGTTTAGCAAGGGAAAGAAAAGAGACATACGCTCAGATGTTATCGGTGGCCGAGAAGTCCGTAAGAGCAACTGTGATTTCACCGACTACCGGGTTGGAATCTCCTCGGCGCTGTGAGAAAGTTAGCTATGTATGTGCGTGTGTGTTGGGAGGGGGGAAAGGGCGTACTTCTGATGGGACAGCTCCGGAGAGAGCTTCGGAGGCAGAGTCAGATACCATTGTGAGGTCCAGCTCTGGAGCCTCAATGGGTCTGGCCTGGGCGACTGAGGCGAGGACGAGGGAGGTTAGGACGAGGAAGAAGTTCATGTTGAAGGTTCTGGGGGGTGGTTGAGGTGGGTTGGGTTGGTGTAATGAGTGAAGTAGTTGGGTTGGTGTAATGAGCGAAGAAGTTGGGTTGGTGTAGTGAGCGAAGTATTTTGGTTGATGGGATGGATATAGGAATATTTTTCAGAGAGGGCCCTTTTATACATTGCTCTTGTGTATCTGTGTTTGGCAAGATTTTTTGGAGGGTGCTTTTTCTATGTGGCTTTTGTCTATCAATATTTGGTAAGTCTTTTTGGAGGCGTTTTCGGAAGTTTTTGGTTGGAGAGGAAGGGAAGATCGTCGTGGATTCATCAGATGCTTTCCAAGCGAAATATTCATTATGAGTGGGCCGACGTTGGAGCAAACCAGATGCTAGAAGATGTTTTTTTTTGGATGCTTTTGTTCGGCTGGATGGCTTGGCGAGGAAGCCACTTTTCACAAAAGATCTTCTTATCGTGCTTGAATTTCCTGTTTAGGGAAAGTTTTGCGTGATCTGGTAGATCCTCATGTCTTTGACATTTGGTTTCGTAGAGTGAGCTGCTTGCGCGTCGTTTCCTAGGAAGGCACATGGCGATGTAACATCAGATGCTGATGTATGATTGAATATAGTTCTAGGAATTTACTTTGTGAGATTTTGTGATCCTCTGTACTCATTCACCCGTTATAAGGCATCAATCATAGTTCTGTGTCGTGACGGCAGCATCACACGTGGATAACCACAAAGACGGTGACGAGTCCTGAATTGCATCACATTCTAAATCTTCTTTTAGACCAAACAACTTCAATTACGTATCCCGTCGTTCCAATTTCTTTTTCTTTTCATGTGTTTTACACAAGTGAATCGGATCACCTACTGCAGCGTAAGATTGGGGGATGGATGATGCTGAAGGCCATCAATGATAACGGACAGTGCAAAATAATAAGCGACAAAATCTGAAAAACTTGAAATTATATGAAAAGCATATGCCCATTACATATGCTACTGTAAGAGCACTGCTTACGCGCGCTACAAACAGCGCCCCGCTGCAGTGCGTACCTTTTTCCTTGCTCCTATTCATCATCTATACGAAAGAGAACCATAAAGTAAGAGCAGTTCGAATAAGCTTTTGCCAAACCTCATCCCCTTCCCCTACTAGTTCCATGCATGTAAGCGCGCAAAACTTTCTTGTCATTGTGCACGGCAGGCAGGAAGGCAGGGGGGAGGGGGCGGAACGTTAAGTGCGGAACCAGCATGTACCCTGATGGCTGCGACGCAACATTATCATATCATCAACGTTTTCTTACAACTAACTCGCCATTTAAAATCGTTGGTAAAGAAACACATATCTCATTGCTAATAATACATAATATGAAATCTAACACACCCCTCCACTACTAACACAAGCAGCCAATATTCCAAGCCGCACGACACAACACACACGTCGCATCCCTCCCAGCATCCGCACAATGTCCTTGCCAAACCTCAAAACAGATCCTATGCACACTCTGCCCACACCCATCTTTACACCACACCGTTCCTTCTTCTTCTTGAGCCTCTGATCCCGCACCCGAGCCCATCACCAGCGCATCAAGACAAATCGCGCACGCCGCCTCACCGGATCGCCGTGGAACATGATGACAACCTTGGCAGTCGCACTCGTCATCCCAGTCTGCGCGACAGATGACGCAGGTAGGGTTTTGCCCATCACTTTCGCGTTGTGTGCGCCATGCTTCGAAGCAGGATTTGTGGACGGGGCGGCCGCAGCTGGATTTGCACCAGACTAGGTCTGTGGCGGGACAGGAAGAGAGAGGACCGCCTTCGTGGCAGATGGGGCAGGGGTCGGAGAGGAGGATGCGGCGGGCGTGGGGACGGGTGCAAGACTGTGGTTGGTGAGTAAGGGGTTCCGTTGCGGCGTCGTCGTCGTCAACTATGGATGAAGGCGTAGCTGGTCTTGAGATCTGAGAGATAGAACTTGGCGGGGTGACGATTTGATGTATCAATTCCGTGGAACGGTTGGCTGATGAAATGGCAGTATGCTCGCTCGATTCAGACAGTGTCGTGGAACGTCGTGATGGCGCTGGTGAAGAGATATCGGTGACTGAGGTGCTATAGGATGGTGTTCGAACTGGCGGTTGGTTGTTCGATACAATCTCCAAGAGTTCATTCGTACATCTCATCGTCTCCTGTATCGTGTCGCGGAGGTTTTCGAGCTGAGGAGGTGTGGTGGACGATATAGAAGATGTCACTGTGTAGGATGGCGATGGATTACTGATTGGAACCCTGCCAGTAGGGAAAGCTGCGTATATCATGCTGCTCCATTTGCACACCATGGAATCAGCCTGTCCTCGATGGAATTGTCCACAGAGTCCATAGCTAGCAAGACTTCGGAGTTGAGGCCGTAGAATTGTAGGATCGGGAAGTTGCCTTGACATCTCGTCTAGGATTTCGTTCATCGTACTCACGGAATAAGAACCTATGAGCATTCGGCACTTGCGACGCTTGGTGTGGGCGTAGCCAACGCAGCGGCCATCTCTGCAAATTTCTAGGACATCTCTTGGGTACCATTGCTGATGGCTGCGTGTGTTCGAGTCAACAAAAGAGTGCCTGGAAATGTTTAGAGTCATTGTGAAGAGAGCTTAGAGAAAATGTGTTAACGCAATGAGTAGATGATTTGCAAAGTGTAGGACTTGGAGTACCGCAACATCTCTTCAGTTATACGTATAATCGGCCTCCATCATACGATTGATCCAACAGCTTGGTTCCTCGCTGCCTAGGAGAGCATATTCCTAAGTGAACAAAAAGGTCATGCGATGTGGCTATGCACCCAACACATTGAAGGCGAAGCACCAACTTTGCAGCGAACCGAGCCTGGCTGTCTGCCTGTGTGGGATACTCTGTGAGAGTCGATAGTCAAAGGATCATGATTTTCAGACATTGTGAGCTTTAGAAAGAGGCTGTGCGCGTCTACATTAATGCATGCAGTCTGTAATAGTTAGGTAGCACAAGATGTTGGGGAGGCTGATGCGGCGTAGTCACCATGCGCCGTCACCCGACACATTGAGCGTTTCGACGTCTGCTCGCTCCTATGCGTCTATTGGTCCAATTCGCAACCGAGACAAGTTTGACAAAACTTTGTTCTGTAATGGTTGCTGGCTCAGCGTGGGGAAATGCTTGGAACTTACGTCGGCCGATAAGGAAACTTCCGTTGCGTAATACTATGGACTTTGTACTACGGTATTGCCGCACTTACTCCATTCCCCATGAGTCTTGTTGCTCGCGTCAGATCCTCTGTAATATCATGGTCCCAAATCCAGCTCATCCTAGTCAATGCGTTTTGCTTGAGTGCTTCAAGGTCATCTCCCACACCTTCTCCTTCAAGTTCCCATAGCATGCCGGCTTCGCGACTTGTCTTCACTAGTTTCTGGCTGCGTGGTCTCCTCACCGCGTCATATGCGTGAAAAGCCTTCTCAATGTCGCTTTTTGTGTTACATTGGGAAAGTAGTTCACTGAGGATGTAGACGTCCTCGATGCCCATTCCAGCGCCCGCCCCTTGGTGAGGTGTCGAAGCATGGGCTGCATCGCCGACAAGACATAGGAGTGGCTTGGTAGAGTAGTAAGTCGGCGCGGGTGGGTGATCAAAGAGCGCCCAGATGTCAGGCTTCTGTAGGTTCTCTATGATGGTGCGCACAGCGGGATCCCAGTGTTTGTAGTCGTTCAACATGTCTTCACGGGAAGTCTGCACTACCCATTCTGGTTGGTCCCATGTGGGACGAGAAGAGAAGGCTACCACTATTGATGCCTTAGCCTGAGTGATTGTGAAAATCAGACGAACCGCTTACCGTTAAATAGTGTTCCGTTTGCGATGGGAAAGGTGAGTACATGCCCACGATAACCCATGTAGAGCTGCGGCGTCTCCGGTGTGCCTTCGCCCATTATATTGATAGCCTTGTCCATAGGCATTAGCCCACGGTAGGCGTATTTCCCGGAAAAAACGGCTTTTGATGCCATAGAGTCGCCGAGCAGTATAGATCGCGTGCGCGATTTGATTCCATCGCATCCCAGCACAGCGTCATGCAGTGCCTTTGATCCATCGGTGAAATGAAGAATCACCTTTCCTGAATCATCTTCTGCTTCTGTGATGTTTTGCAATCTCTTTCTGAATTGCGCAATACCCTCCGGCAGCAACTTGACTAATTCATCCAAGAAGTGCGCTCGGTGCACCCCGCCTCGAGGGCCTGTCCTTGCTGGCATGACGAAAACCTCCTCCCCTGATGTAACATCCTTTTTTCGTTCGTCGCCAACCCTTACAGTAAACCACCGTGGAGGTTCCGTTGCCGTATTCCCTTTGCTGCACTTGTCAAATGCAGCTGCGATGCGAGGGTCGATTAGCCCCATGGTGCGCACCATGACGGGTTCAAAACCAACCCCTGCACCTATCTCACCGAACGTTTTCGCAGACTCATATAGTGTAACATGAATGTGTGGGCATTTCCTTAGCATCGCGATGGTCAGTGTGAGTCCTGCTATGCCACCACCGACCACCGCAATGCTGAGGGGTTCTGCTGCGGCCGCCATGATGCCCGACTGGAAAAAATTCCTTGCGTGATGGTATGCTGATGTGATGCTCGATGCGACAGACCAATCGGACCAAAATGTCAGGATATTGGTGGGTGATATCTCCTTTTGCTACTCGTCTTTGCACTATTAGGAACAGGTGCGGTACTGCAATAGAAGGGCCTAGTATGTAAAAGTTATCATGCCACCGGGAGTAAACGCTTAGACATGATATTGGGCTCCCTGCCATATGCAGCACACTCTCCCTGTAACTGTCTAACTGGGTGGGGATCTAGAAACGATGCGCTAAATTTTAGTGCTGCTCCTGACAGGCATTAGTACACCCCGGCTACTGCACCCAGGTACTGATCAGACCCGAGTGGTGGATTTTCGGGTTATGAGAGTCATGGCTACAATAACTTGGGTGTTTGTGTGATATCTGACACGCTTGTAACACGAGAGCATGTAGCGTGAATCTATTATTATTACTTTTTTTTCTCTCTAGAACACAGCGCTTGACATTACTCTCTGACGACCTTGACATCGGTAGTGACAGTGATGCCCTCGAAAACTAGGTCCTCACTTCCGCTCTCACTACTTCGAGGCCGGCTCGTTGTAATGTTTGCTACTGTTTTTTTGTCCTCCATGATGTGTTCCTGGCTCTCGCTAGGGCTGATGTCTGCATACGTGTCTGGCCGCCCCCTGCTCCCGCTTTTTACATTACCCATGGCGTAGGAATGGGAGGTATCCGTTCCTCCTGGTCCCCTTGCTGCACTGAGAGCATTGCCTGTAGGCCTGCTGTTGCCATACTGCTGATATCCACTGCTTCCCCCCCTGGTGCTCCTCCATTTCCTGGGCCAGAACGCCGCGATGGTTTTACGCAGACTGATCAGACATGCGCAAATGACGCCAGTCGCAGCTTCAATGAAGCTCCATAGATTTGTTGGGGCAGACTCCCAGGTGGGGTCCTTGGTTCCGAGGGTCAACGGCAGCGTTCCCATGCGAAGAGCGGTCGTTAAGCAGATGAAGAAGCCCATGGAGAAGAGGACTACGAGACCAACTCGGGAGCCCAGAGACATGTTCAAGCGTACGATGACTGGCATTGGGAGGATGAAGATTGCGATGTCGGTGATCAGATTTGTGATTGCGTTGGACCAACTGCGAAGATAGTCAGCACTAGACATACACAGGTCTGGTGTAGTCCTTACCGGTGTCCAAAGAAGCTGATACATGTTCCTGGTATTGAACGATCGTACACGCGGGCTATCGGTGTACATTGGAAGATGACAACGAATATGTATGATATGGTCCAGGCGACTGCTAACGCACCGAAGATCCTGCAGATCAGTCGAAAGCGAGGCATGGGGAACACGCGGTAGTACAAGGCAATGAAAGCCATTTTGTTGAAGCCATTCGTCAGAGTGTAGAAGACTTGTGTGAGCCAGAAGAACTGTAGACAGCCTGTCAGCTAGTTGTCTGAATCATTGCATCTACTTCACTGACCATCATTGCCTTCTTGAAGTCACCACCAGATTTTTTTATGTCGGCGCCCTTCAGCCCAAACCCATAGATTGTAGCCATATAAACGCATATGGCGAAGGCTATCAGCCACATCTGTCATCTGTCAGTATCTGTCTGCAGAACTCCCACTGGAACACTTACGTTTGCTGTAATGACCAGTGCATCTTCGATTCCCAACCAGCCCCTATTCTTGAATGTGATGGACAAGCGACATATCAAGAGGATAGTGGCGATGGAGGTCAAGGTTACAGTAACCCATCGCAAGTCATGTTGTTCACCTGGATAGGCTCTATACATTCTCGTTTGAGCGGTGAAGTCTGACAAGCGGCCGAACCAAAGGCATGCAGAGATCGACCGAGCATCTAGTCATTCAGGTAGACTTATAGCAGATCCCTTGCCTCTCATCCACAGTTGTGCTGGAAATGCCCAGCGTTTTGTCTCCACGGATGATAATATCTAGTTTGGGCTGTACCGGTCTGTGCATAGACTTCCTCGTTCCATTATGCATGACAAGGTATACACACGTATTTATGAAGCATAGCCTCTTCAGAGATGGAACTACGGCTGGCGCTTCAAGTTCCGCAATGCGCTATCCCCATCGCAATACATGCCTGGTACACGCCCAAAACCGGACCGTTTCTTACATTGCAATCCTTCGAATGACTGTGCAGCAAAGACCAAATTTTTTTCTAACAAATGGAACACTGCTGAACCAATGATGATTTCCGGGTGGAATCCTTCCGTATGTAGGTACCCACTATAGCTGGATGCTGAAGGAGCACCTTACTGGAATGGAAGGCTTGAAAGAACGGCCGAGCGGCCTTATGTTATCTTGGCCGCATCGCTTGCTGTGGGTTTCGCATAGGGTTCTGGAGTACGGAGCGGAAGGCACTCTCTATTTCGCCGAATACGAGATTGCGCAGCAGCAACCCTTGCACCTGCACGGTGGTGTCGTTTGGTTCTGCACAAGGAGAGCCTCGTGGCGCTCCCGCCCTCACCCACTAAGATCTATGACGAACGGATTCCAGCTATGCTTCCATGTCGCCTATCAGAATCCTATAGGAGCAGATAAGCTCACAGTGGCGTACTCTAGACGGAGAATTTCAGACTGACGGAAGAATAGTAGTACGTAAGTTTAACTACTGTTACACCTTTTGCCCGGCCCGTCGCGTGGGGATGAACAAGCCGCTCCGGCGGGATGGGTCATTTCTACTCCGACCCGCGATTTTGGCGTTTACCAAGATAAAGCGCAGCGCTATTGACAGTCAGACACGATATACCGTACTTCTACCGAAGGTGATTGGCGAATGAGCCGCTGGGTCGGGTACTGGCCGTAAATCAGCATGATAGACGAAGGTCCAGGCCTCGAAGCATCTGATGCCGAACCCTGAAGAGCTCGGCAGCGAGAAAAGTGGCTCGTTATTACACCACCAACGAATGAGCGGCTGCCAGGCTAATGCGGTGAGTGATCCGTAGCATGGTTAGGTGTCGAATATCACCCCATCTTTTGAACGCTTGGGGGTACTTCGGTCCTTCTAGAACAGCAAGACTATCTCAATCCAAACCGTTCGCCGTTGGTATCTCGCTTGGAGATTTTACCTCAGTTTTTCTCCTGCACGCGGCTAAATGCCATGTGTTTGAGGTTGGCCATTATCTTCTGCAGTCGCCCCTGTCCTTGCGTACATTGCAGGCCTGCCGGTTACTCAAGACACAGTGTTGTGCAGCTATAATCAACGGCCTTACCCCGCCTAAACTCTGCACTCACCATCTGCAATGGCCGAACCCAGCTCAATCGAAAAGGGCGCCTACGTCCAAGGCTCATCTGTGTCTTCGCCTGGCTCGACGACCGAAGAAGTTACTTTTGATCCCGCTGCTGAGCGCAAACTCTTGCGAAAGCTCGACATCAGGATCTTGCCTGTACTATGGATCCTCTATCTCGTCAACTTCATCGACCGGTAGGATTTCTCTCTTATCCCTCACACCTGCAAAGCTAACTCAACCCTCCAGCGCAAACATTGGAAATGCGAAAATCGCGGGTATGGAGCAGGAGCTGAACCTCATCGGCCAGCGCTTCAACATCTGCGTGTGGGTTTTTAACCTTGGCTACCTTGTTGCTGGTATTCCGCTACAAATTGCGTTCAAGCATTATGGTCCAAAATCCCTCAGTGTTATGATGTTCTTCTGGGGCATCACAGTCATCGGACAGGGAAATGTCAAGCGATGGGAAGAAATGGTTGTTTGCCGTCTGCTCACTGGCTTCGCTGAAGCGGCCTTCATCTCTGGTTGTGCCTATCTGATCGGTGCATACTACTCCAAGCGCGAGTACCTTACACGCTATGTCTACTTCCTTACAGCCGGTATCATCGCCGGTGCTATCAACGGGTTTCTCTCATCGTTGATCTCAAAGATGAGTGGTACTGCTGGCTATGCCGCATGGCGATGGTAAGTTGACTTTGCGCATGCTTTTGGGCGGCAGTTGCTAACTCTAAAAAGGATCTTCATCATCGAGGGTTGCATTACAATCTTCATCAGCATCATCACCTTCCCATTCATCCCCCCGTTCCCAGAAGACTGTAACTTCTTGACTCCTGACGAAAAGGCTCTTATGCTTGCACGAGTCAAGGCTGATGGAGGTCATGTATCTGACGATGAAATCACGCTCAAGAAGGCTCTTGAGTACCTAAAAGACTGGAAGATCTGGACCGGGTAAGCAAATCTTGTTCAGTCGCTTGAACACCAATACTGATAAATCGATAGTGTCGCGATGAACCTCGGAGTCACAGAAAATGCAAACTCGCTCGCCAACTTCCAGCCGACTATCCTGAAAGGCCTCGGATATACTGCTATCGAAGCTCAAGTTCACACCATCCCCGTATACCTGGTCGGTGCTGCCTTCTCCGTCATCTTCGCATACGCAAGTGAGCGTCTGCAGCGCCGCTACCTTTTCTACATCTTTGGCTGGGCGGTTCTCGCAATAGGCCTCATCGTTGAGATTGCCCACCCGCCAAACCCCAAGGTACGATACATGGGCATGTTCTTCATCGCATGCGGCTGCTACCTCGCCATGCCCATCTCCATCATCTGGGTCTCCATGAACTGCGGCAGCGGCTACAAGCGCGCCGTGGCCATCGCAGCAATCATAAACTTTGGCACTGCCGGAGCCTTCGTCAGCTCCAACGTCTTCCTTTTCAAGGAAGCCCCCCAGTTCCGCACTGGTTTCAGCACTGGTCTCGGTCTAGCCTGCATGGGTGCTATTGCCGCAACCATAACCTGGTACGGCTGCAAGAAGGAGAACAAGAGACGCGACCAAAAGAGGCTCGAGTTGCCCGAGGTCCTGGATCAGAGCATGAAGGAACTGGGCGATGAGCACCCAGACTTCCGCTTTGCCTTGTAGACAGTTTTCCCAGATAACAGTGTAGCTGGCTACTTATCATTAGACAATTATTACTACCGCTTACTGCGGCAACATAACATTAATAGATCTAGAATAGAACACAAATATATATCAAGCACATTGTGCTTCCCCATAGTTGGGTCGCAATCCTGCAAAATTGAACAACTGAATCTTGAAAATGTTGATTGGAAGGGGCGAGACTATTGATGTGCAGCAGTACTTGCATGGCGCTAAGACGGAACGCAGTCGCACGGTACACCCTTTGGACTCGCGCGAACCACTCAAAAAAATGGCTCATGCATATCGTGTCGTACACATGCAATAACAGAGAAAGCACGGGGACTGGTTTCACCACGGCCGTACGCTATGTGTGCAATGTGGTTATGCACATATGAAAACTGATGGCTCTTGTGTGAAATATCGGGGAGGTGGGTGTGTGGGGACAATGAATACGAAATATGGGGTTTGTTTAAAAAAAAGTCGAATTATGCTTTAAATAAAAAATGGGGTATACACTGTGCAAAAAGCAAAACGTGCACCAAAAATGTGGGACTAGTCTTAGTATCTACATGTTTTGTTGCCCAAGAAATTGATTGCGTCGTACTGTTGAGTATTACACGTCATTCTAGCCTGCAATATTTTTTTTAGTCGTGTTTGGTGTACACTTTGACATATCGGATATGCTCGTTGCCCTGGGCATCTTCGTATCGCTGGCTGACGATTTTGTAGCCTCCGAGCTTTGGCCATAGCTTTGTCCAGCAGGTCCAGTAGAATACACCCAGGAGTAGTACGCTGACACCGACAACAGGAAATACGTAGTATGGGTAGCCTTCGGCATTCCAATCGCCATCCGGTGGGATAAAAGGGACGATCGCGAGGAAGATGTTTGCGGCCAAGTAGAGCAGAGCAACGGGAAGGTAGGTGTGCCATGGAGACTCCCAGCGCTCCGACTTTGTGTAGTGGAGGTAGATGAGACCTGCTGTGACGAAACCGTTGATCCAGGCGCCCGGGTAGGTGTAAAGATCCGTGATAAAGTTGTATGCGGGTCCAGCGGGAGGAGCAACCAGGACGATGACGGTGATGAGCCAGTGCAGGAACAAAGCAGTCGCAGGAGCATTGAATGGCTTGTTCGACGCCCAGAATCGGCTCCAAGGCAACAATCCTTCCTTTGCAAACTCCTGGTTCAAGCGAGCGTGCGCAAAGCTGACCGCAAGAACATTACCCAGATTGCTGAGTGCGACGAAAGCCGGAAGACTGCGTGCTCCGGCGCTGTTACCGAAGACATTGCGGAAGAAGAGACCAGCGACAATGACTTCGCTCTTTGCGAGGTCGGACTTGGGGATCGCAGCAAAGTAAGCTACATTCGCAAGCACGTACAGAATCGTAGTTCCACCGATGGCAAGAGGCGCGGACCAACTAAGAGTCTTCTTGGGGTTCCTGACTTCTCCGAGGACGTAGTTGGCGTTCTCCCAGCCCTTGTATGAGTAGATGATGCGAAGAAGTGCTTGACAGTATCCGTATGCGCCTCCTCCACCGTATCCGTCGCCGACCTCTAGGCGGAATGCATTATCGAAGTTGTTCGGTTTGTCGATCTTCAGGTGACCGGCAAGGGCAGCGAAGCCGGAGAAGACGATGAACAAAAGAATGAAGACCTTGAATATTCCTAGGATATTAAAAAGGCGGATGCCCCATTTTGGCAAAACAGCATGCAGAGTTACTGAGAAAGTTACGCAGGCAACGGCAATTCCACGTGCCACCCAACCGTCAGGCGCTTCTGAACCGGACGCAAAGAGGATGTAACGACCAAAAGCCAGGGAGTTTCCGGATGAGAATCCAAGAAGCAACATCTGCGCAGCCAGCACACATGTTGCCATGTACTTGGGATGGCGGTAAACGCGCTCGAGATAGTTCTTTTCGCCACCGGAGCGGGGGATTGCCAATCCAAATTCTAGGAAGACTGAGAGTCCGCAAAAAGTAAGGACACCGCCGATAATCCAGAGAAAAAGCGATACTCCGACCGATCCCGTCACGGCAAAAATACCAGAAGGTGTTGAGAAAACTGATCAAAGTCAGTTGCTTGCTGATAATATGCGACTAGCCGTACTTACTTCCAGTGCCGATCATTTTGTTCAGAATGACAAACACTGTCGCCGTGTATCCCAGCTTCTGCGAATCATCGTAGACATAGGCATTGTCTTCTTGGACGCTGCCCTCCTCGTACACCGGGGGTGAGGGTGAGGACGGTGTATCCTCGTTGGTGTAATGCACCACCTTCGTTCCGTCGTCGTGCTCGATCGCCATGGTTTGGGTTGAAGTGCAGCGACTATGCTTGCAGAGCGGAGCCCGCAAGTTAAATGCAAGGTTACATGGTGACGCGATAGTGTGTGTGTGTGGCTCAAGAATGCCACGCGAGATAAATTACGATTTTTTCTTTTCTATGTCGCAATCAACATAACAAGTGAGATTTTGCGGCGTGAATGTCTTGCGGTGCCAGGAGTCGGCTCGTTCCAAGACCCTGGATGGGGAAGGTGAGCCAATTCCATGGGTTCAAGTCTCTTGGTACAGCTTCTCGGCCACACGTATCATCGAGCCGCGCGATGTCGTGATTTCTGGGCACTATTAGCTTGTTGCGCGCGCCCCTTGGCATCAACAGAATGCTTTTAGCCACTCGTTATCGCAGTAGCGAGTGCCTTAAGAGGGCTGTTCACCAACAAGTGGCCATGTGCCAGGACGTCGGCGTTGCCGTTTAGCTGCGATGGGCGCTGACGGTGCCAAACGCGAACATCAGTCGCCTGGGACGCATCCTTGGCAGCTTCCCGATCAGATATGCAACGTAGGATCGTGTTGAGACGTGCTGCTACCCTACACCAGCTTGCGACAGGATTGTGGAAGTGGAGTGGTGTTGGTGTTTCGGTGGAGATGGAGATGGAGGTCTGCACACCCTCTCGGTAAGCCTCCGAATTAGTCTCTACAACACATGGTTTCGGCATGCAAGACTAGACATGCCGAGAAACCTGCCAGGACTAATCATGTGAAGTACCCACAGTAAGCTTAGCTCATACATACGGTGTGCATATCTAGACAAAGGTAGTAGTGCATATGATGCTAGCTCCTTGATGCATATGTATACTAACAGACTCCCTTAGTAGCACAAGTAGTAGTACTTCCTATTCCAAGCATCTAGTTTTACCAGTTTGCTCTGTGTTTTCTTGCTTCGCCAGACAACCAAGAGGTGGTGCTCTCACCCAGTACTGCGCGCGCATGTTTGTTCGATGCACACAGCTACCAACGCATCGACTCTACTGCGACAAAACAAAGTTCTGCTGCTTACTGAACACGCGATGGTAATCTTCGTTATGAATGCTAGTGTGCTGTTCTGTCGCGACTTGAACTTCTCGACCAGCCACCCTGCGAGACAGCTCATTTAGAAGAAGCCGAACAAAACCACCGCGAAGCCGAAGCGATTAAATTGGGGGATATTCGCTTGATCCGCATCATCCATCGTCCTTAATTGGCCTGAAAACAGCTGTCAAGTATGACCGCTGCCTGTGCTAGGCTCGGGCACACCCCGGTGTCGTTAAGCACAGATACCTTAGTAGAAGCTTTGCCCTACTAATGCTTGGGTGACGCCACATAAGCCTTCATAGTAATGCATAGCTTATGTCCAACTTCTGATTATGATAGTAGCAGCCTGAGTGCTTTCAAGTATCCGATATCTCGAATCATCAGCTTTTCGTCAAAACATGAAATCGCTTTCCGGTTCTCCACGTACGTATTCGGGCTCATTGGTGGATTATCTCATCTCATTTTCCCCAAACTTCCCCGGTTTTTCCGCATAGGCCACCCCCGCGTTTACGAACTTAGATCTACCGTAATAGCAGGCATTGGTCAGAAATTCAACGAGAAGATTACTTGCAGTTAGAGTCACTCCAAATTACCGGAACTATGATGATCAAACGGAACATGGTAAACCATGATAGCCGCAAGTATACGAGACCGAAGAACTTTATAAGGAACGCCAGCCAAGCCTCAAAGTATGCCATTGCAGAACGAATCTTGTACTTCAAAACTCCCAAGATGAGATTGGCGATTATTTTCGCTGGCATCCTCCAGGTGTGTGCTGCTATACCAGCAGTCAACCGAAAGGCATGCCAGTATCCTACCCAGAAACCTCTTGACGGATGTCCAAAAAACACGCTACTCGTCGGCCCAGGAAGCAACTTCTCAACCATTCAATCCGCCGTCCTAAGCCTCCCAAATGACAAAACCCCCTATAACATCCTCATCCTCCCCGGCAACTATACCGAACAAGTCAACATCACGCGCCCAGGCCCCGTCTACCTCCTCGGCCAAACCGCGCACCCAGAAACGCGCACCAAAAATACCGTCAACATTCTCTGGCACAACGCCACCGGCGCTGGTCTCTCCACCCTCGACAATGCCTACACTTCTGTCCTAACCGTTGCCCCAACCTTCAACGCCAGCCTCACCGGCTCAGGCCCAACAGGCTTCCCCGTTCCGCCCAACACCCCCTTCGGCAACACCGACTTCCGCGCCTACAACCTAAACTTCACAAACGACTACCTCCCCTACTCCGCGGGCCCTTCGCTCGCAATCTCCGTCAGCTACGCAAACACAGGGTTCTACTACTGCGCCTTCCACTCCTACCAAGACACCCTCTACATCGGCAAACTCGGCAACGCCTACATTTACGATTCCGAAATCGCCGGCCAAACCGACTTCCTGTACGGCTTCGGCACCGCATGGATCCAATCCAGCCTGCTTACCCTGCGCGGCTGCGGCGGCGGCATCACCGCGTGGAAAGGCACAAACACGACGTTTGAGAATCGCTACGGCGTCTACATCCACGACTCGGCGCTGCGCAAGGAAAACGCGACGCTGGCCATTCAGGGACAGTGTGCGCTCGGTCGGCCCTGGAATGCGCTGCATCGCTCCATCTTTGCGAATTGCGACATGGATGATTCGATTTTGCCGGCCGGCTATATACGGTGGAGTGCGGCCGATCCGAGGGTCGGGGTTAATACGACAATGGCCGAGTACAGGAGTTATGGGCCTGGGTGGGATGAGGCGGCGCGGAGGGCGAATAATATTAGTATTGTTATGGGGGAGAGGCAGTATAGGGACTACAAGAGGGTGGAGACCGTGTTTCAGTATCCGTTTTCGGGCGAGTTTGGGAATACGGCGTGGATTGATCGGGATCCGGGGCAGTAAGATTGGGGGACGGGAAAGTTTGCTTCGTTGCGTTGGGATCGAGGATACTTTGTGTTCAAAACGATAAGGTCTTCGGGTGTACATAGGATGGCAGGACGACGCATGGAGAATAAAAAAAAGACCAGCAACTCAGGATCAATAATAGCTTATCCCTTACATAGTAGTAATGCAACCGGCTCAAGATTCTTTAGATACACTTTTAGTATCCTTCCATTTGAGCCCTTCGGGTAGTACCTGCCACTGCTGCTCCTCATCAAGCAACGCTTCCATCTTCGCCCATTCCTCTCTAATCAGCGTAACCTTCTTTTCGTTTCTCGGCGTAATACTAGCCGGGAACGGGCGCGGCTGGGAAAGCGTTCCCTCTGTCAAATCTTCCTGATCGGGAATGATTTCTTCGCCAGCTTCATTGCGGGCAGGGCGAAAATCAAAGGTCCATAGGAGGCGCGATATGGCCAGGAACAAGGACCGTTCGGCAACATGCATGCCTTGACACACGCGGCGTCCAGCGCCAAAGCCAAAGTGATCGCGTTTCGTGGGATCGGGATTGTTTGCGGACTCTGCGGCGGTTGACTGGTCGTGTATGTAGCGTGTTGGGTCGAAGCGACGGGGATCGGGATGCCGTTTGGGGTCGTTGTGGATGGCCCAACTGTTTGGCAGGACACCTGCACCTTTTGGAATCGTATATCCCATATACTCATCATCACAGATTAGTCCGTGTGGTGCCCCTGAGATGACTGTGGGCATCCATCGTAAAGTCTCCTTGATGCAGCCGTGGATGTATGGTAGATTGGGCCAGTCCTCGAGCGTAGGAAGCCTATGTCCGCATACGCGATCGAGTTCCTCCTGCGCAGATTTTGCTACCTCGGGGAACAAAACCATCGCTTGGGTGACTTTGGTGTATTAGTTTGAGATATGGGGCGTGGGGAGAGTACGTACAGCTAACGAGCTCTGCTGCCGTCGTGTCGGAGCCGGCTTCAAGTATCGAACCGCTAATGTATGCAGCGAGCTCATCTGAGATGTTCTCTTCTTCTTGGGCGCGTACCAGATCAACGCAGAAACATGGTTTCGCAGTTCCATTCTTGATAGCATTCTTGACATCTAGCCAGAGTCCAACAAACAACTCGCTCGATTTCTCATGTAGCTGCTTGGCGTGCCTCCTCTCAGAAAGCACAGCGTCCGGCAGTGACCTTAGTACTGGGTACAGATCAAGCAGTGCTGCAGATGTTTTACCATGTACCTGGGAGAACTTTTCGATCCCCTGTAGTAGCTTCAGCGACAGTTGCATCATCCTATGCACAACTTACCCAGAAGAGCTGCTTTAGCTTCGGGTCGTCAATGCTGGGAGTTCGAAAACCGAATACCATCTGTGTTGTTAGACTATGAGTGTAGCGCCGGAGGTGATCGATGAACAACTCTGGCATTTCCAGTAGCTCAACAAGCAAGGCCTTGCTCTCAAGGTCTTGATACGGCACATAGGACTTTGTAGCCGTGATGTTCAGATTATTGTGTACGATCTTACGGATCATGCGCCACGGGTCGCCATAAGGCTAGGTATGTCAGCATGTCCGATATCAGAATAGACGTTTAGCATACCATCAGTGCGAACCGAAGACCACCACTTGCTACCTGAGCAAGATAATGGTCAGGGCGTGATGAGTAGATTGCGCTCCTTTTATCTAAAAGATCCTTGACAGCTTGATCCGACGCAAGCACGATCAAGGTCCATGTACCAAGCATGAGCGAGTACACCGGCCCATATTCTTCTGCCCACCTCTTGAACTGCAAATGGGTCTTTTCCTTTGGCATAAGATGGAGGTTGCCGATCAGCGGTAGAGTCGGGGGTCCTGGCGGATATCCTTTTGGCCTTTGACCAACCTTACTTAGCCGATAAGCGGCTGCAGCGAGTAGAGCCGCGAATATCGCATAGATTACAACATCCATTGCGACGGATGACAGAGTTTCGGAGGCGCATCCAGACGCTGTGAAAGAGTTTGGAGAAATAGTGCAGCAAGAAACTCTAGTTATATCATCATTTTCCCACCACAACCCTTCCATCAATGGCGGGGTCGATGGTAGCGCCGAGACTGCATCACTACCCAAAATAGACAAAGTTGCTGAAGTTGAGTGTGGAGATGTGGAGTGTAAGCATTGGCGGGCAGAGTATTGCTACTTACTCAGCTCGCCTATGGTCGTAGACTCGCACTTGGCTACTCTGATGGGCCTAGTATTATGGAAGCTGAACATGTAGAACTTCGTCATGAATCGCGTTGCATCGAGTCCTCTTGAAATTGCTTCAAATCTTCTAGTTCATTTAGTAGCAAATCTAACATGGGTTGAGGTGCCCTCCCGCGGAGTTGCGGGTTGTAAGAAACACGAACATTTCCCACCACCATCTCGACTTATACGTAATTTCCATATGATCATATGACTAAAAAAAGTACAGATAACGAGATGCAGAACGTAAGACCGATAGTGAGATAGCAGGCAGTAGCAACGCTGATATTGAGGCTTACGCCAAGCCTTCGAATTGAAGCAAACATGGGAAGCCATGTGCGAAACAAGTTTTTTTCTCAGCAGTAAACCCACTGACAACTCCTTCACTATCCACAAAACCAAGGAAGGTGAGGAGCATAGAGTGGATGACAAGATTAGAAATTACAAATTACTAACAGTGGTAAGGAGAAGAGCCTTGGTTAGTTTACTTACCTAAGACGAGAACACAATGCGACGCAAGACTCTTCCAATTAGCATCATATTCAATTCTCTGTGGCTTGATTCACCTGTTTCATCTTCATACAAAGCCAAAGAGAAACAAGGGGAATTTCGATATGCTCAAGAGGTGTATAAAACGAAAAAGAAAAGACATTAGCCAGGTACCAGCTGCAAGCCTCTTGCGTCAGACAAGAAGCAAGCATGAAACGGTGATGCATTGGGAAAAAAAAGAAACATAGCCACGGTTTCGAAAAAAAAAAGATATTGGCATGGCACATCAAATGCCGGGGTACTAAGCAAAGGTATCAAAACGGGAGGGGAATAATTACAAGACCAAAAGTCCCAAAACGGCAATGACAATGGCGCACACGGAGCCGCTCATACGAGAGAGAGCCGGTTGAACGGTTGTCGCAGCGCCCGTAGAACCAGTGCTACTTCCACCCTGGACAAAGGTGCCTCCAGATGTGCTTCCGCCACTGCCTCCCGACGCCGCGTCCGTAGGCTGCGCGTTGGCACCCGATGCAGTTGGGCCAACCGTCTCACCGGCGTCGTGTCCCGCGCCGCCTCCAGGGTTGCCACCGGGTACCATAGCCACGGATGCTGATGGTTTGGGGCTCCCGCTCTGTACCGCCTCGCCGGGATCCTCGCCAGTACCCATGAGGGAGCCCAGGATAACCACGTCATCGGTGATGGCAACCGTATTGTTGGTTCCGGCCTCGTCCGTGTACTTGTACGTCTTCTGTCCCTTGATCTGCGCCTGTGGCGGGGGGTCGTAGCACTCGATTGTGACTTGGGAGAAGCGGGCCGCGTAGTAACCGTTGACCATGTATGGGCTGTTCCAGTCAATCTCACCACCTGCCCAGTCAATAGTACCTTGGGCATTGGTGGGGAGACCGGCGGGCCAGAGGGAGAGCATGACGCGAGCAGGGGTTTGCGGGTAGTCGAATCGGCCCGCAGTGCTGTTCCATGTATCGCTGCGTTGGAGCTTGCGCAATTCCTCGTCATCAATGGACCAAGTGAGTGTGTCTTCTGTCCAGTCGATACAGTATTTGTGCTCTTTTTCGACTGCATTGCCATTGGGGACTGTCAGGTTCCTTCCGTTGGTGTCTGGCATTTTGTTAGTTTTCTTTTGCGAGGCCGAACAAAAAGGCCAAGGGAAAACTCACAGACTGTCACGCCCTGGGAGTAGTAGTTTGATTGGACGTTGTTGATGTCGGCACCAACCCATTCAAAGTCGATTTCGTCTTTGACGTCCGACATGAGAATGAAGGCAGTGACGACACCCTTGCCCTGTGCACTGCTGACCGTGGAGCAGATCTTGCCGTACCAGACATAGTGGGTAGATGCCAACAGTGTTCCAGTCGATCCTTGGGCCATGGTCAAGAGCGTCGACTTCTCGCCCGAGGCAGGATCGGTGTATGAAATAGGGTCGCCTTGCGACTGCCAGTTGATCTTGGAGGCATCGCCGAGGTAATTGTCAATGGATTGAACGTCGTCGAGGTTGTCGAGCGAGTAGGTTCCGGATTTGCATACAGGGCCGGGGACGCAAGAGTCAAAGCTATTCGACATGAGCGGGTCGCATCCACCGAGGCAGAAAGCACCGACACCGCAATCGCCATAGACTGCACGGCAGTTAGCATGCAATCGCTTAGTTTGTAGAATTCAAGGACGCACGCGAGCAGCAGGGCGTTTCTTTTGGACAGTGGCTATCCTTTGTGCATTTGGCACCATCTGCGTTGGCGAAGCCTGCAAACGCTGCAGCCGCAATTGCGGCAGAGAGGACGGCTCGGACCATGGTTCGGAGTCAGTTGTGCAGATGTCGATATGACAGTGGTAAGCTGACGCGCAGTAGAGTCGGACCGGGGTCAAAAGGTTATCGCAAATGTTCGTGGGGAGCGCTTTTCCAGGGTTTTGGCGATGACGACCGTAAGCACGATGGCGATCCGCGTGAAGGCCCGTTCCGAGAGAAAAAGGTGTGGAGAGGAATACGACGATTAATTAGTCCCCTGACTACTATCCTATGGCCGCGTTTCGGGTAGCGAGCGTTGGAGGCAGATGCAAAAAAGAAAGAAAGAAAGCACAACGGCGGGTTAGTAAAGCGAGAGTGGTCCCGAGGGGGAGAGAGGAGCAGAGGACGGGCATGAATGGGCGGCCAGCTTCCTCTTGAAGAAGGGGTTCCTCTGGGGTACGAGGTGGCGCATCAATATGGAATTGCGCCATTCCACATGCGGCCTCTGACTAGCCGCTTGAATCGGCCGATGAATCCCTTGAGTATTAGCGACCCGGCCGTCCACGCCAGCAGCCCGTCCCAGGCCCTCGACGCTGCCAATGGCGAACGGCGCGTTTCGTCTCTGCCCTGCTGACTTGCCTTGGACACGGCACATCGCAGACGGACGGATTTGGACGTTTTCTGTGCTACCGTGTGCTACCACCCTGCATTGGTTTCCTCGATGCAGACACTGGCCAGAGCACGCCTAGCGCCTTCACAATCGATACGCCCTATGTTTGGAACACCCTGCAGCAACGCCCGAGCCGCTCCACCTGCATCCCTGCCATCACGCTTCAATGTCCAGGCCCTCGACTTCTAGACAACCTCACTACGAGTCACACACTGTGCGGATGTGGCCGTCGTGAGAGCGCGTTCGAGTTTTGCGCGTGTTGAGTTGCTTTCTCCTGGCCGGATTTTGGCTACTAAACTGAGCACGTGCTTGGCCGTGGAGCAGCCGTGCATTATCCTCCATCCCATGACCAGCAAACCTTGCATACATGCAATAGCGCTGCCATGCAAGCACCCCAACCCCGTCTCTTCGGCACATTTGGCACATTGTTACTAACCACGCTAAAGTTTCGAAACAGAAACATCAATCCGCTCACACGCCGCACCTGTTACGAAAAACGAAGCCTCAAGACACTACAGTGTATTGGGTGCTTACCCCTTGGGAATGTCTTCATCTTTGCGCCCACGTGACCACTTAAATAGCAACCAGCCTACACTCCCAAAGACTCGAATCATCGTTGAAGTTGACAGCACCACGATAAATGCGTATTCCCCGCACTTCACCCCCATGCTCTCGGTGGACCAAGATACCCGGATAAAAACTGCCCCACCGAGATAGCGCAACACCAATACGATGCTAGTATACGATTCTCTCCTGTAGCATATTAACTTTTGTGTAAAACTCTGGTACGCTAGCATACAAAATCAATACTTTACTTACATGCGTGGCGGTGAAGGCAGCTACTTCCAAACGCCGGCTTTACTTCAACGGAACCTGGTTTTTTTTCCGTGTTGTACCTAGTCCACCAAGAACCCATGTTCTCGGCGCAAAGAATCCACCGCGGAGAATACGGTGGCTCTCCTTGGCCGGGGTTGAGGCATTGACCAAGGCCTAACCCATCCTGGTCTATCCGTAGTGAGAAATCAGATAAAAGTAATTGTTATGGTGTAATAGGCCACTCGATAACAATGACTTTTCTTTGGGATAAGTGCAAGAAGGCATCACAATACATGAACGGAAGGAATTGCAAGCGGTTGTTCGGCTGAAGAGAACAATGTGTTTATCTGGCTATATGATGAGCCTACTGGTCATGAATGGGAAGACTGATCCGCACAGTACTAGATTCATGGATTATCTATAAAATGAAAAGCCCCAAGAGATTTGTTGATGTATTCTGGAACCCGACGGTAATATATGTTGAGTGGAAAAGCATGTCTCCTAGTCATCTATACATTGTAAGCTGATAGTCACATGGCGTACGTTGCCTTGGCAGCGCTAGTATCGAGTGGATGAACACACATCTAGATTGAGATGACGAGAATAAGAACGTCTGGATGAACTTTCAACGGACAGATACAGTATTCTGCTAGCGCTCAAAGCACGTGACCATACCATCCATAGCCACAATGATAGCCTCCATCAACGTCCACTTGCCACTCCTTGGATATGAGCCATCGAATCACGTTCAATGAATCGCCGTATGCGGAAACCATCGCACCGGGGTGACACCGGCCCCTGTTCGGCGATCCAAAGATATCTCGCCAGTCAGCCTCGGTACTTTGCCTGCGCTTATCCCTTCCCGAACTTGCTCTAACCCTCTACCCACAACTCTCGGCCCATGCTCAAACTCCAAGATCAACACGTTGACTCTACACATCACAATTCTGAATGTCATACCTCCTCCACGGTAGTACATCTTATACTGGAATGGGCTGGGTCGATTTGGTACCCCGCTGCGGTCGTATCTACATTGGCGGCTTATACGCTTTGTACCAGACCGACCTCATCGAAGCAGCAGGCATAACGCATGTACTTTCAGTCATCGATTACGACGCATTGCTACAGGAGAAATTCCGGCACCTGAGACATTTTCATATCCGGGCTGAGGACCATCCAAACACCAATCTCCTGCAGTTTTTCGAGGGTGGTGTCAAGTACATCGATGAGGCGCTAACTTCTCCCCCGCTGACTCTTGACAAGCCTCAAGCCGCGGACGCTAAGATCTCACCCTCAAAAGGGGGCAATGGCGCGCCCGGGGGTGGCGTATTCGTGCACTGTGCAATGGGCAAGTCACGATCCGCCACTCTTGTCTGCGCGTACTTGATTTGGAAATACAACATCTCCCCTGAAGCGGCATTGGAGCAATTATGTGAGGGAAGGCCGATTTGCGATCCGAATCCCGGCTTTAAAGAGCAGTTGGAGGTTTGGAGTGCAATGTGTCGTGCTGGGAGTGAGAAAGAGAAGAAGAGGATATACGAGCGCTGGGAAAAAGATCGATTCACCGGCGAAGTATGGGATTGGGAGATTAGAGTGAAGGAACAGGAAAGAGAGAAAGTAACGAGTCCTCAAGCCTCGAAGCTTTAGGCATTGATAAATTACACATTGGATGAATGGAGTAAGAAAAAAGAACAAAAGTGTCCCGTCGACTCGGGCTCATGCTTTGAATGGCTTTGCAGCTTTGCTCTTTGGACGGAAACAGGGCAGCCACTCCTTCAGAGCCTCTATGAAAAGATCCCGGCTATTCACTGAATCGGGAATGATGTTGTAACCAAGTCCCGGTGTGTTGAAATCAGACGCGTGGACCCCACCTTCTACCACCTTACCAAACAGTTTGTCCTTCCCAGTACTCACCCCGCATTTGGGAATCTCCTGCGTAATCTCGACTTTTGGAGCGTCGGGTCGTTGAGAAAGAGGACCGGTAGGACGCCAAGGATCGAATTCTCCACTTGACCAGTATGTGTTTGAAGGGCGAATCTGCCATCCTCCCATCTCCTGATTGAATTCCTGCACCTTGGGCCATTCTGGGAATACAGAAGGCGGTGGGTTGTTGAAAAGTTGATGACATTGATCGTTTTCTAACTTTAAAGTATTAAACTTAGAAATTAACTGGTAAGGTCCAAGATTGGCGGGTTGAAAGTACCCTGTGTTTGGTCAGTACTAGCTAGGAATATCGAGACGGTTGAAACATACCCCATTGAGTGCAAGCCTGCCATCTCCAGGAAAGAACATTGGGGTCCACCGGCTGAGCATTAGACGAGCAATTTCTTGAAACCGTCCCATTTTTTGCGCATGGCGCATTGGAGTCCAGAAGCTCAACGTTTAAATACCCGGGGTAGAGAGCCCACTTGTCCAAAACCGATTTGGCACCCCTGGTCGGTGCCCAGCCCTCTTTTGGTGCCGTCTGGTTCGTCTTAGGGTCAGTCTCTAACTCATCACAGAATTGCCGGAGGGAGACACTATAGCCATCCATGGCATATGTCTGCCAGTCCCCAAACACAACCTGTAATGTCCCGCCAAAATCCACATTCGAGATGTTGGCATTGTTAGCACCGAGAAATTGTTCTTTCAGTTTGGCAGCAGCTTGCGGGTCTGTGTCCATGATGTGGTCCGCATATCGGATGGCAGCTTGTATGTCCCGAGTACAGTTGCCAAAGCCTTTGGCATTCATTCCGGCCCATATTGCATCGGCATAATAACCCATATCGACCATAGCTTCAACGACAGCTGATGAGGCCCAGGATGCATATATAGAATCTGGGTATTTGTTGCGCACCCAAGCAGCTCTTCCTCCTGAGTACGAGGCACCAATAAAAACCCACGGCGTGTGATCGGCATCGAGTGTCGCGTTGATATATGGCAAGCTGAATTGCTTCGCAAAAGCGTCAATATCCGCAAGAGCCTGTGGGACATTCAAGTATTTGAAGCGGTCCAATGACGTATCATTGTGAAAACCTGCGGGTACCGACTCGCCGTACATTCGGTGTTCCCAGGCAATGCCGATGCCATTAAATTCTTTTACGATCTGGTTGAAGAAGAAACGTGGGTCGGGAATCCATCTGCTAACTGGTTCAGCATTGCTTTCACCCTGGTCCAAGATGAAAACGGGACCACCTGGTTTGTAATTTTCCGAATAGACCCAGTATCTGTTGGGAAAAGTGCCCGCGTCCGATCCAAAGTGGTCAAGAGGGAGTTGAACAGTCCTCGCGTCGAGCAGTGGAGGTTTAGTATCCCGTGAATTAACGGATCTGGGATTTTCAGTGCCTAATCCAAGGCCCATGTAGGCCGAAGGGGGCCAGGTCTGCATGCGTGCATGCAAAGCATTTGATCCTTGCCCCAGCGCAAGCATGAGTGCCGCCATCGATGCCAAAGACCACATTTTTCCTAAAAAAAAGGTTCCTAAACGAGTGAAAGAATCAAATAAAGCGAACGAATTCGTCCAACGAGAACGAGTGAAAATCGAATCCTCACGAACCCGGCGCAGATTTCCAAACACCGCGACAAAAGAGCGATCTTCTAAGAAAAGTTAGATCCGGCAACTCCACCTTATATATAAGTTGCAGAATGGGGGAGGCTGCGCTGCAACCCCAGTGTACTCCTATTTCACAACTGCCGAATAGGAAATGAACTCTCACATAAGCCTTACTACCTTGCTGACACCCCACAAATTGAAAGCATCTGCCATTGTCCGAGCAAAGCCGCAAGGGGCCCCGTTTTCTACTCTACACCAACCATCAATACACCTTGAGAATGCAAGTAGACGTACTATAGTGGTAGGCCAAAATTTTGTTTCATAGGCCATTTGGTAAGAGGGTGAGACTGGTTGGGGTGGTAAGAACTGTCTTGCACGGCGAACAGCATCCGTCAAGATTACCAGGAATAGTCTCGTAACATTTCTCCATAGTAAATTGCCCATAGAACTATCGCGTGTAGATCTTAATTACTATTGTGGCGTCTGCGGATACATACGAGGGTTCCCGCCGGTAAGCGCAGTAGATCGCTGACAGGCGTTACGAAGTTAAGCTCATCAGTCTTGGTTGCGGATGGTAGATCTTGGTCATATCCCCTTGAGAATCTTATTTTACAAGGTTGCTCTCGGCTGGATCTATGCGCGTACTTGGATGGGTTTGGGCTTAAGCACTGGAAGAGCATTAGTGCAAGGCTTACGGCTGGAAGTGCAGATCTGCGTCTGGAGATCTCTACCTCGCCAGGGTAGATATGTATATATGAGTGTCGAAACTTCTGAAATTTGCATCAGAATACTGAAATGCATCAAAGTATCTATAAGCGTTGTGGCCGATTCGTGAACAAACAGCATATGCCTTTAGAGGGAGTCGATCCAGTAGCGCCAGTGCGTCCATCTCTGTCGCAGGACCCAAATCCCCAAAGTCAACGCTGTTAAGGGTATTGCAAATGCCCAATAAATCCAGAACCTCTCCGAGACTGACCACTTGCCTGCCGCACCTTCTTGAGGCGGTGTGTAGTTGAAAAAGCTCATGCTGAAAACAGCCTATGAATGGTTAGTACAGATTCGCCATTGGTGTTGGAAATTCCCACGGAGATGAAGGTCGGTGGCAGGAAGAACATGGTGACTACGGCAATGGTTCTCATCACACCGCTATCTTCTTTTGCTGCCTCCCCAATTCTAGTCATGATCTGACTATCGCGGTTTGTGATAATGTTGAAAACCTGGTAATGTGTTGGTGACATCTTCTCGGGGAATGACTATCCATGCCTTACATATGAGATCTCATTTTGCAGCCGCTCCTTGTTTGATTGGGCTCGTAGGTGAAGATTTCGAAGCATGCGAACCTGAAAGTCTAATTGCTTATTGATCGACTCAGCTAAATCTTGTGCATCCCACGACATTGACGGTGATCGCTTTGATTGGGTCGCGATGTGGTGCTGAATGCTGCTTAGAGTGTCGACTGCAACATTGAGAGTTTCTAACGAGTGGATGGCGTGTCTCGTTACTTCGTGAAGCAATGTAAAATGTGTTAAACCGCGAGCTGAAATCGCACGGCCCTAAGGTATGCCGTGTTAACCCCATAAATCTGCTGTATAGATAAAATCGCTTACCCTTTCAGCGCTCCGCACGAGATCTCGAATCAACCACACCGATTGGTCAAACATTACGACAAGAACCTCCATTAGTGGCACCAGCAAGCAGCCAAGCTGCGGTCCTTGTATATCAGGCCACATTTGGTGCAGCTTTTCTTGCAGACAGCTTTGGAATGAAGCATCCACTCCCAAGCACAAAACTGAGCAGCTCTTCGAATTCCACCGGCAGCAAAATGTCATCTCCTGCCAATGATAGGATATACTGCTGCGACTGTCAATAATCTTGATTAGTACGCGGAACCACATGTCTAGGGAAAGTCAGTTGAGTTGATGCCTAAATTCCATCTGCCCTCACAGCATGATTCGCGCTGGCCATTTTGACCTCGCGATTCCTTGAAATCAAAGAACCCATTCGAGCGCCTATATATGTCGGCTAGGAGATACTGGGGTATCTGAAAATACTGAATCAACTCCGGTAGCACTTTTCTGCTACCACTATCGGAAAATAGATCGTCCTGTATAAAGCTGGGATCTGGTCAATGTCGATCGGTACTTTCTGGAAGAACGATAAAGTACAGATACTGCTTTTCGGGTTCATTTTTATCCTATTTCAGTATTTAGCGTGGTATGCAGGAACGCAAAAGAAGTATCATACGCGGAGACAGTGATCTAATCGTTCATTATGTGGGTTCCAGCATCCGGCGGCTAGGCAGCAGTCAATTCATTTCCTATTAATTGTAAGGAATACCCTTACATAACTTGATTAAATCGATTGTATTCATTGGAGGCTCACGAGAATTTGACACACTCGCAGAGAACATGAAGATAAGTAGAATGCCACTTGCTCCAGTCAGCCTGTTATAAATTTGCCAAGGCCAACTGGTGGGCTGTGCCACCATGAAGCGCCACACCAGCGTATGCGCAAAGGATGGTAAATGCATGAGAAAACCGGTCAATTATGGATGTGCATCCATGGTGTGCAAGGCTGCCCAATGAACACCTCGGTAGAGCCTTCTTCACCCGCTAGCGCTGATGGCGCAGCTATCCCCACCAACCACAGCCTGGGTGGCCGTGTCGCCTCCTGCATCACGCTGCTGGCTATGTGCAATGCGTCTTTCAGCTCGCCAAGAGATTAGAGGTGGTCTGGGCAATATCCTGGATACTTGTTGCGACGGGTTCCGCGTCTGTTGAATTTCTATGCAACTCTTTATTTGCACTGTTGTTTGTTCCTCACTACTACTTCATCACAGAGCCACGTCCATGCTCAATATCCTCTGGAAACTCTCGCAGACCAACGTATTTCTTGAGAATATCTCCGGAATGAAATGATCACCAATGCCACGCCAGCCTCGCCGCGAAGAGTACACTGTAGGATGGGTATGCGCACTGCCCATCGAGTCCGCAGCGGCGAGATCGATGCTAGACGAAAAGTATGACACCCCCGATCCCGAACCAGGCGAGAGGTGGGACGACATATATTTCACGGGTTCGATAGCCGGCCACAATGTTGTTATCGCTTGCCTCCCGGGGCGTACTGGGACAAGTTCTGCAGCTACGTTGGCAGCACGGATGCAAGGCAAGTTCCAAGGAATCAAATTTGGACTCATGGTAGGCATTGGCGGAGGTGTACCAGGCGGGCAAGCAGATATTCGACTTGGAGATGTTGTTGTCAGTGCACCACAAAAGACCTTCGGAGGGGTAGTCCAATACGATATGGGAAAGGCGACACCAACAGATACCATAAGAACAGGAAGCTTGGACTCACCATTCCAGATCTTGCTTAGTGCAGCAGGCGCACTACAATCTGACGCTTTGATCGGCGAGAGCAAGCTGCTCAACATACTCTCAAAAACCCAGCATATCCCTTCCTTGCAGCGTTGCGAATCCAGTGCCGATGTGCTGTACGAAGCATCCTACAACCATGAAGGCGGCAGAACTTGTGCAAATTGTCGTTCTGATAAACAGGTGAACCGGCCACAACGTAAGAGAGAAGAGGTGGTGGTGCACCACGGAACCATCGCATCAGGCAACCAAGTGATGAAGAACGCTACTGTAAGGGACAGGATTAGTCAAGAACTTGGTGGTGTCCTTTGCTTCGAGATGGAGGCTGCTGGTCTCATGAACAGCTTCCCCTGCCTTGTCATCCGTGGCATTAGCGATTATTCAGATTCGCATAAAAACGACCAATGGCAGGGATATGCAGCGGCAACTGCAGCTGCCTATGCTAGAGAGCTTCTCTTGAAGATTCCAACAGCTCAGGTGATGGAAACTGCAAGGGCAGAAGACGTGATCAACGATACCAGAAGTTAGTGTTAAAAGCCTTTTTTGTATCCACAGTTCGGAATAACGATATGACAGAACGTGATGCGTGTTCTTCGAGCCCCACTAATAGGTCTTCGAAACGAAGGAAAACCGAGGGCCCTAGTAGTCAGATGCCTGAGATCGAAGAGTGAGTCTCCTACATCTGAAGTCCTTCGCGTTTTGTAAACAAAAGCTGATTTCTCTAGGCGCGGAATCGTCTTACGTATGTGGGCTTACAACCAATGTCATTCGGTAAAAGTTTAACTGATTGAATCAGTACAAGAAAGAACCCGTCCGTCACTAAAAGAAGATCGAACCCATCATCCGCAAAATGAAGCTCCGACACACCGGGTACTGAGCGAAGAGCAAAGACAGCGGCTCCTAGAATCCCTGCAATTTGACCAGATTGACGAACGGAAGAACACAATCAAAAGGGCTCATGCGAAAACATGCGAATGGCTCTTACAAAGCGCGCCTTATCTAGAATGGCTCGAAACTACGAAGAGAAGCGAGCACCATGGATTTCTATGGATCAAAGGGAAAGCTGGAGCAGGAAAATCTACGCTCATGAAGTTTGCTCTAGAACGAGCGCCCAAGGAAGTACGAGACAGCTCGACACTGTCTTTCTTCTTCAATGCAAGGGGAAGCACATTGGAGAAGTCTACAACTGGGACTTATCGGTCATTGTTACTGCAGCTCCTTACAGGATTTCCAAAGCTACAGGAGGTCTTTGACTCACTTCACTTATCAGCAGCATACTTTGATGCAAATTACGAATGGAGGGTGGAATTGCTTAAGGACCTTCTAGAAAAGGCTATCCTGATGCTCGGCAAGACTCCCATATTGTGCTTTATCGACGCATTGGATGAATGTGATGGAACAGAGATTCGAGACATGATTGAATTCTTTGAGCATATCGGGAATCTGTCAACAGAAAAGGATTTACCTTTCTTTACCTGCTTCTCTAGCAGGCACTATCCCCACATAACTATTGACAAAGGACTCGAATTGGTGTTAGAAGGACAAGAAGGCCACAATCAAGACATTATCAACTATATTGGGACTGTGTTGAAAATTGGAAAAAGCAAAAAAGCACTGAAAATTAAGGAAGATGTTCGAAAAAATGCAAAGGGCATCTTTATGTGGGTTGTTCTAGTTGTTCGCATGTTAAACGAAGAATCAGACCGAGGCCGACTCGATCGTCTTGAGAAGAAATTGCTGGAGATTCCTACCGACCTACACGACCTATTTCGCGATATTCTCACCCGAGACTCGGAAAATAAGGAGCAAGTGGTTTTATGCATTCAATGGGTGCTCTTTGCAAAAGTGCAACTCAGCCCTAAGCAGTTGTACTATGCTATACTATCTGGCATCGACCCTGATGAAGTATCCGCATGGGACCCCGACGAAGTCGATCAAGATTTGATCAAGAAGTTCATACTTGATTCTTCAAAAGGCCTTACCGATATTACTGCCTCCAAAGATCAAAAGATCCAGTTCATACACGAATCGGTCAGAGACTTTCTGCTCAAAGAGAATGGACTGGCCAAGATCTGGCCCGAGTATCAGCACAACTTCTTTGGCCAAAGCCACGACAAGCTCAAACAGTGTTCCTGGAACTATATCAACACCATCCTAGACAAGTCATCAGACATCCTCGACATTCCCTCCGGCGCATCTTCTATGACATTGAAAGAGCTACGTTCCTCAGCAGAACAGAAATTCCCTCTTCTTGAGTACGCTGTCCACAACGTATTCTACCATGCAGATTTGGCAGAAGGTCATCGCATTTCCCAGTCAATGTTTCTGGACCAATTCCATCTTGAAAGCTGGGTTCAGCTGGACAATCTGCTGGAGAACTACAAAATTCGCAGGCATCAGAAGACCGTTAGTTTGCTATACATTTTAGCCGAACTGGACTGCGCCAATTTGATCAAGTCTCACATTCCGCTTGACAAAGTTCTGGATGTCACAGAAGAGCGCTATGGTTGCCCTCTGTTCGCTGCGATTGCTCTTGGAAACGGTGCAGCGATTCGAGTTCTCTTGACGGCGATTGAGCCAGCATCCCCAGGTACAGGTACAAACTGCCAGCAGCTTGAATCCGATACGATAGTGGCTGCTCCCATTCAAGGTAGTCATCGTGACTTTGTTTACGCGCGGGGAAAAAGCTTCTTGTCCAACGCAATACGGATATGCCCGGAGCAGGCCATGAAGCGGCTGTTGAAATCACCAGCATGCAACCTTGAATCACCATCTTCTGATACTGAACAAATACTACTGGAGGCGTCGAGTCGCGGCTATGAATCTGTAGTAAAGTTATTACTTGACAACTCAAAAGGTCTCTTCAACTTGACGCCTGACACATTAGACAAAACGCTGCATAAGGCGGTGGAAGTCGGGAATGAGCCAATCGTCAAAATGCTTGTCCTCAAAGGAGGCAATGTTGACGCAATGGATAACGGTGAAAACACACTTCATGTGGCTTCAAGAAAAGGGATCGAGAGCATCGCTATATTTCTCTTGGATAGGCGTCCAGATCTACTTGACAGCAGAGGCCCGTTGCGATACACCCCCCTCATGTCCGCGATTGAATATAAGCATACATCTCTTGCCCAAAAACTAATCCAAAGAGGGGCCAACGTCCATTTGGAATCTACAGATTGTACTGATGCTCTTTACTGGGCTTCTCTGATTGGCGATCGAGAACTTGTCATGCTTCTTTTGGATGAAGGAGCTAAGATAAAATCACAAAATGGGCACCTTGGCAACACATTGTATAGAGCTTGTTTAAGAGGTGACAAGAACATTGTTAAGTTGTTGATAGAGAGAGGCGCTGATGTCAACGCCAAGTGTGGTGAATACGGCAGTGCACTTCAGATAGCTTGCTCTAACGGTCGCAGAGATATCGTAGAGCTATTGCTAGATAGAGGCGCTGATATCAACGCTAAGGGTGGCAGTGCACTTCAGACAGCTTGCTCTAACG